CACTTATGCGTCTTCGGCTGTCTAGCTTATGTCACCTCTATCAATTCTACCACTAAATTTTCCCCTAGGGCACATCGATGCATATTCATTGGTTACCCTCATGGCCAAAAAACATACAAATTATATGACTTAGAAACCCATCGCACCTTCACCAATATAGATGTTATTTTCCATGAAGATTCCTTCCCATTTGCTGCCACGCACATATCTACCCAAACTTTCTTACCTTTTGCTACCACGCACACATCTACCCAAACCCCCACACCTCCTCTGCCACTTCCGCCTTCCCTGGACTTTTCCTATCAACCCTCTCTAAGACCCATATCGCCTTTGCATCCTGCCACATTACCTAACCCCCTGCCTCCTATCACTGACACCACATCACCCCTTCCCACCTCAAATTCTACGTCACCCATTCCTCACATTTCACTCCCGATCCCACATATTCCCTCCTCCACTGACATTCCCACCAATTCTCTTACCCTACCCATGGCTTCTCCTATTACATTACCACCCACGGAACATCCACCTCCTTTACAAGCCACCTGCACTTTTTTCCGCACCCACAACCCCCCGCCTTATTTAAAAGACTACGTTTGCTCGCAGGTGATTCTGCTTCCACACCCATTGTCGACTTCGCAGCCCGGTTCTGTCAAAGGTATGTGATATACACTTGGTAATTTTATTTCTTACCACTGTTTCTCTCCTAATCATCTTTCACATATTTACTTTGTCAGTCGGAGTTTGGAGCCGTCTTCTTTTGTAGAGGTTGCTAGTGATCCTAATTAGCGTCGTGCCATGAACGAGGAACTTGAGGCTTTACACGCCAACGGTACTTGGACATTGACTCCCTTGCCTCTTGGCAAAGTTCCTATTGATTGTAAGTGGGTGTATAAACTAAAGCATAATTCTGATGGTTTTATTGAGCGTTACAAAGCTCACTTGGTTGCTAAGGGTTTCACTCAAGCCGCAAGTATTGATTATCATGAAACTTTTTCTCCTACTACTAAAATGATTACAGTGCGTTGTCTTCTTGCCCTTGTTGCTAGTCAGTCTTGGTCTCTCCATTAGCTCGATGTTAATAATGATTTCTTGCATGATGATTTAGATGAGGAAATTTATGTCTCCTCCTCCTGGTCTTCAGCGATAGGGGGAGAATCTTGTGTGTCACCTTCACAAGTCTCTTTATGGTCTCAAGCAATGTTCTAAAAAATTGCCTAGGCGATGGTGAGCTAAGGTGTTTTCTTGCAAATCAGTGGGAAAAATCGGATGGGCTTTAGGCGACCTAGGTGGCTAGGCGGGGCTAGGCGGTTTTTTTTTTAATAATGAAATTAAAAAAAAAAAAATCCTATCTAAGTTTAAGTGGTTCAAAATTGTGAACTTGTTGTACATGCGTCATCCTACAATACTCCTCACTATGGTTATATGGCATATATGCTTAATGTGTTTTTAAATTTTGGACTTATTAGATACTCTTTTTGCATTTTATCATTCTTTTATTATCTTATCCATGAATTTCATACAACTATAATTTTTTGTAAGTGTCAATATGCACTTATTTACAAGATATACAAGAAATTTACCCAAATCCGCCTAAACCCCGCCTAGCCGCCTAGCCGCCTAGCCGCTAGGTGCCAGCCCACCGCCTAACTAACACCTAGCGTTTTTTAGAACCTTAGTCTCAAGCAAGCTTCTCACCAATGATTTGCCAAATTCACTAGTGCTATTTTTTCTGCTGGTTTTCAACAATCCAAAGCTGACTACTCACTATTCACCAGAAAGTCCAGTACTTCTTTCACAGCCTTGCTCATTTATGTGGATGATATTGTGATTACAGGTAATGACGACAGTGCCATTGATTCTCTAAAGTCTTTCCTTCGTGATCACTTTCGGATAAAAGACCTTAGTGATTTAAAATATTTTATTGGGTATTGAGGTTTCTTGATCTCAAGGTGGGATTTATATTTCACAACGAAAGTATGCATTAGAGATTCTTAAGGATTATGGTTTTCTGGGAGCACAGCCCATTGCTTTCCTTATGGATGATACAAAATTATTTGATAAAGCAGAACTTCTCAAGGATCTTGAAAAGTATCGATGTTTAATAAGACGTTTAATCTACCTCACCATCACTCGGCCAGATATCACATATTCTATGCATGTTTTGAGTCAATTTATGCACGAGCCACGTGTACCTCATATAGATGATGCGCTTCGTGTTGTTCGTTATTTGAAGTTTACTCCTAGGTCAAGGTTTATCATTCCATTCTGACACCGAGACCAAGTTAGTTGCGCTTTGTGACTCTAATTGGGCAGGTTGTCCTATCACTTGCCATTCGACTACTGGGTATTGTGTATTCTTAGGAATTTCTTTGATGTTGTGCGGATGAAGCAACAGAAAACTGTTCCACTTTCTTCAGCTTAGGCAAAATATAGGGCTATGGCAGGTGCTTGTTATGAGTTAATTTGGCTTCGGTTTTTGTTAAAGGATTTGAACATTTCTTTGGATGGTCCATCTATATTATTTTGTAATGATCAAGCAGCGTTACATATAGCCGCTAATCCTGTTTTTCATGAGCGGACTCGTCACATTGAGATGAATTGTAACTTTATACGAGATAAGATTTCAGATGGCACTATACCAACCAAAGGAATGTTGGTACGGCACACCAGTTGGCAGATTTGTTCACCAAGCCTCTCGGGAAGGACAAGTTTTCGACTATGTTACCAAGTTAGGAGTTCTTGACTTCCACTCTGCAACTTGAGGGGGAGTGTTAGACAATAGAATCCTAGTTGGAGTCTAGATATGATTGTAATCCTAATTGTAGGCGTATTCCTAACTTGTAGGGATAATACCTTGTTGTGCAAGGAATGTAATTGTATATTTTTTCTTATTCACGTATCAATGAAATATACTTTTAGCCACATATTCTTTTTCTACATGTCAGAGGTATATAGTATATATAGCTTCATCTTATTTACAGGTTTCTTGTAGGCATGGTCGATCTACGAAGATCAAGAATTGTTCTTAGTTTGTCTAATACCCTAACCTTTATCTTGCTTTCTGTCTTTGTATTTCTTTAAAACAAGGCATGCAGAGAATCTTAGTTATAAAGCTAATGATGCCTTTCTAACATTTTGTAGTTGAATAAAGATGTATTCAGCTTCAAGGGATCTGACGATTGGATTCATCATTATTTCCAATGTATTTGCAGTCCTAAGCTTCTATGCTTCGAATTGTATATTAAATAAAGACTCTCTATTTCTATAATTCTTCCTTAATAATACTTTTTTGTATATATACAAGACTTCGGTTGCAAAGAGAAATGCTCTTAACCACTAGCTCTACAAACCTTTTTTTTTTTTTTTTTTTTTTGTTACAAACCCTACAAGCCTCTTTGCTCGATCTTCTGAGTAATACATAGGTTAAAAGATATCGCAGTTTTGTTGCAGTAAATTCTGGAATGGAGTCAACAACACCAATTGATGCATAGCATAGCGAAGCCAAAGATAGCTATTTCTATTTATAAACTACCCCCTTCTTAATAAACTAGTTCTCATATAGTTATATGAACAAGATAACAATATAGGTTTCTATTCCACAACAAATAAGCAAGGAAAATTCTAGAAAGAATAAATATAATAGACAATATGATGTGCCAGTTTATGGTTAGATTTTTTTTTTTTAATATTTAAAAAAAATAAAATAATCATTATTAGCAGTCGCATCAAGTGGTCTATAATATATAATTACAATAATTGATCTCTTTAGCATCATCAAATGAGCAAATACCACTACAGGAAAAGCAAGCAATAGTCACAAAGACTAGTAGTTATTTGATGGTTGTTGTTGGAGTACCAATAATGTTATCAATAAAATGGGAAAGAAAAAAAAAAAGCTAAACAGTACGCAATGGCCACACCACTATTGTTACTAATATATTAAAATATATTCTTTTTTATTTTTTGCCGTCTTTTTCTTATTAGTAACACATTGTTATACCCTAAGAAACATCAACCTAGTACAAGGACGGAGCCACGTTAGGGGCCGAAGGCGACCATGGGTCGCGGCCCATTTTATTCTTCAATGTAATGCAATAATATGTACATATCAAGAAAAATTGCAATTATATGTTTTGAAATTGCAATAATATGTTTTAAATTTAATGAATTTCAGCTTTTCAACAAAAAAAGAAAGAAAATTGCAACGGTTTTGGTAACAAGTAATATTTTCATGGTGAACTGTTCATTTGTTGTATGCATTTGAATGGCTAAAATATCTCTAAATGAAATGATTTTTTGTAAATAGAATCTTTAAATGATGATAAAGAGAATGAATGATTCTGATTATAATGTTCGGACAGTAAAAATTTGTTTATCGTACCTAAGAGGACAAATAAGTCCCCCAAAGACACAAGCATTATCGAATAGATATTTCTTTTCATATTTGAGCTTCACTATTTTTGCCCTCCCCCCTCTTCCCTCCCCTCTAAAACATCGAATTTAATGTTAATATTCTATTATCTTCCTCCAATCCTTCATCTTTGAAAGTACGTACGTCTACCACTTTATCTCTTTTTATTCATTCATTTCCTACTCTTCCTTCGTTAATTGGTTTAGTAGTTGGAGACAAATTTCATATTCAATCTTGAGTGGTTATGACGAGACTGAAATGTTTCTGTAAGTCTTTTTGTTCTTGACTCCTAGAATGGTTGATTGTGGTGGCGAAGCTACCAACTAGTCATTTAAAAATATATATATATATGTATATATACATATATATATATAGGGAATTGTTATTGGCACTCCAAAATTCTCATTCTACACTCCAAATTTTTTATATTTAGAAAGAAAAATACACTTGTGAGAAGTGTAGAATGAGATTTTTGGAGTGTCAATAACACTTCCCCATCTATAAGTGCCACTCTTTATTTCACAAGCTATATTTTCTTAAATCTTTTAATTTTAATATTGTGTGTGGTTTTTGTATTTGGTATTACTTTATTCGGTTAATTAGTATATATGGTGTTGTGATTATAATTGATTACAATTTTTCAACGGTACTTGCTAGTTTGCTAGTATTGCTACAAAGGCATTCATGGAACTTGATCTGATGGAAGTTCCCTCAAATCAAAGGCATTCACGGAGCTAGCTGACTTTGTATATCTAGATACTGCATAACCTCCCAGCGCCATGACCAGAATAACCACCACCGCTGTCTTCTTGCTCAGTCTTGGCCTCAAAACTCTGCTTCTTAAACAAACTAAGTAGTCATTAACTGACGACCATGCAGCATTATCTGCCCCGTGTGATCCAGCTGATGCGTTAGAATGCTGAGCTTTCTTTGGAATAGTTATGGAAAGAATTCCACCGGAAAACTTAGCACGGATTCCGTTCGTAGTACAATTTTTAGAAATTTTAATCTCTCTACAGAAGCGGCTGGGTAAAGCAGATGTAGTTTCTTCAACCCTAGGTTGCTTTCCGCTAATGTTTAGGATGCCCAAATTGTTGATTTGAACTCTAATATCTTGTCTTTTGAAACCTGCATGCGTGCATCAACGAGAAAAACAAAAATTACGTAAGAGAAGATGAAAGGAAACTTGGTCTCTTGCCAAACAATTGTCATGTTCACATTGTCGCATTGCATGTACAAGCTCATATTTAGACTGTCAATCTTGACTACAATTTAACAAAAATTCTAGCGGAGTCAATGTATAGCATGTACTATTACTGAGTTTAACACACAACTAGATGTGCGCTGAGAATTTCATGAAATTTAACTGGCGAATCTGAGTCAATTAAAAAGCAATGTATACTATACATTGATGCATAACAAAAGGACTCGATATTTAGTCAAAATCAATTTGATCTAGTAATACCTGGTAGATGTACTTCAAGAATGTTAAATCCTTCCTCCTTATTCCATTGGCAAAACGGTTCAAAATCCTCATAAAACTGCTCATCCTGTGCTGCAGTTTTCGTTTCCATTGGTGATGAATAATTCTTTTCTCTCTTTAAGGGTTTCAATAGGGAATGCAAAAGGAATTCATGAAGGTCTCTCTTTCTTTCATCTTATAGATACATGCTGAAAGGGTTGGGGACAAGGTAGGTATAGGCTAAAAGGTTTCTTCTGGGTTTCCTTTCAAAAGAGAATGATTCGATTTCTTTACTTTTTTTTTACTTTTCTTAAGTTTTCTGGTTCCTGCATTGATATAATTTCTTCATCCTTAAGATATCAAGCATATGCTACTACTTCCAGAGCACATCATCAGCTAAAGGCTTTATACTGAACTGTGGAAAAATAGTTATTTTGACGACAAGGATGCAAAGCGTATATACTGAACTGTGGAAAAAAATTATTTTGCCGACAAGGAAGCAAAGCGTATAATTGCTATGAACAATCTTTAATTAGAACCGTTCAATTTCTCAATAACTATTTAATAGCATCTCTTTAAAAATTAATCAAATTAGGGATCATTTAGCCATTATCAACAAATTGACGGTTCCTCATGAGGATTTTAACTATATCAAACTGTTTTATTAAGTTAATTTTTTGAGAGATAATCTTTAAATTATATGACGTAAGAAATGAACTATTTTGGTTGTGATGTGTATGATGAAAATTTGATACGCAATTCGGATGAGGAAAGGCCCTCCGAGTGTTATGATCCTCTCTCCTCCGAGAGGGTTGCTACTGTGCACCTTTGTGAAACAGAGTAAGGTAGCTAATAAGAATTGATCAGACGTTCTTCAAGAAATTACACTCATTAAACTTATACTCACAATTATCGTAGCAAAATAGTTGGATTATACATGGATTGTACAAATATAATCTTTGTATCTTTTTCATATGTAAAAAAAATAACAAAACAAAGAACATGAAACAGAAGAGTACCATGGGGAGGAATCTGGTAAGTGTCGATTCAATCCTCTTTAGGGAACTTGCAATAAGGCATAAATCCTCGTAAGAACATATAACGTTCTTTACAGGTTTCTTGTAGGCTTGGTCGATCTACAAAGATCGAGAATTGTTCCTTAGTTTGTCTAATATCCTAACCTTTATATATCTTGCTTTCTGTCTTTGCATTCCTTTAAAACAAGGCATGCAGAGAATCTTAGCTAGCTGATGCGCCCTTCTAACATTTTGTAGTTAAATAGAAGTGTATTCAGCTTCAAAGGATCTAACGACAGGATTCGTCATTATTTCCCATGTATTTGCAGTCCTAAGCTTCTATGCTTGCAATTGTGTGTTAAATACAGACTCTCGATTTCTAAACTTCTTCCTTAATAATACTTTTTTTGATATATACAAGACTTCGGCTGCAAAGATAAATGCTCTTAACCGTTATCTACAAGCCTCTTTGCTCTCCTTAATTAGTAATACATAGGTGAAAAGATAGTCGCAGTTTTGTTACAGTAAATACTCAGTGTGAGTACAAACGGAGTTAACAACACCAACTGATGCATAGCATAACGGAGCCAAAAACATAGCCATTTCTATTCTAAACTTTCCCCCTTGGTTATAAGTTAACCCTCATATAGTTATTTGAACAGGATAAATGTATAGGTTTTTACTCCATAACAAATGAGCAAGTATAGGTTATAAATTAATTCTCATATAGCCATATTTTCCTGAATCTTTTAAATCATATACATTAATGTGTGGTTTCTGTATTTGGTATTACTCTATGATTATAATTGATTACAGTTTTCAACGGTACTTGCTAGTATTGCCACAAAGGCATTCAGGGAACTTGATCAAAGGCATCACGGACCAAGTTGACATTGGAAATCTAGATACTGCACAAACTCCCAGAGCCACGACCAAAACAATCACCACCGCCGTCACAGCCGTCTTCTTGCTCAGTCTTGGCCTCGAAACTTTGCTTCTTAAACAAACTAGGTAGTCACTAACCGACGACCATGCAGAATGCTGAGCTTCCTTTGGAATAGTTATGGAAAGAATTTCACCGGAAAACTTAGCCCTGATTCCGTCCGTATTAAAATTTTTAGAAATTTTGATCTCTTTACTGAAGCGTCTGGGTAAAGCAGCAGATTTAGTTTCTTCAACCCTAGGTTGCTCTCCGCTGATGGTTAGGGTGCCCAACTTCGTGTTGTTTAGAATTCTAATATCTTGTCTTCTGAAACCTGTATACATGCATCAACAAGTGAATCAAAAAGTACGCAAGAGAAGATGAAACGAAACTCGGTCTCTTGCCAGTTGCCAAACTTACGTTGTCAGACAATTGTCATGATTACATATCGCATGTACAAGCTCATAGTTAGACTGTGAATCTAGATCATACATTTAACAAAAATTCTAGTATTGCATGCATTACTGAATTTAACACACAGCTAGATATGCGCTAAGAATTTCATGAAATTTAACCAGTGAATAGAAGTCACTTGAAAGGCAATGTTTACTATACATTGATGCATAACAAAAGGACTCGATATTTAGCCAAAATTCGATTTGACCTGGTAATACCTGGTAGATGAACTTCAAGAATTTTAGTTCCTTCCTGCTTCCATTGGCAACGCGGTTTAAAATCATCATAACGCTGCTCATGCTGTGCTGCAGGTTTGGTTTCCATTGGAGAGAAATATATATATATATATTTTTCTCTCTTTTAGGGTTTCAGTTGAAGGGATGCAAAAGGCCTCTCTTTCTCTCATCTTATATATACATGCTGAAAGGGTTGGGAACAAGGTAGCTATAGCCTGAAAGGTTTCTTCTGGTTTCCTTTCATAAGAGAATGATTCGATTTCTTTATTTTTTGTTTACTCTTCCTAAGTATTCTTGTTCCTGCATTGAATTTGAGGCAATAATTTCTTCAACCTTAAGATGTCAAGCATATGCTAATACTTCCAAAGCACATCACCAGCTATAGGCTTTATAGTGAACTGTGAAAAAAGGTTCTTTTGACGACAAGGAAGCAAAGCGTATAATTGCTATTAACAATCAGAACCGTTCATTTTTTTAATCCCAATTATCGTAGCGAAATAGCTAGATGGGTTATACATGCATTGTACAACCAATTTCATTGCATTTTCACCAACAAAGTTTACATCCAAACAAATTGATGAAAAAAAATACTCCTTTACCAACGTCCACCCCCAAGTGATAGCATCGGCATCCATTCCCTTGGTAACTAATAACTAGCGAGTTAATACTTTACAATCCAAAAAACATCTGCCAGCAACGAAGCATCACTAAAATGAGAACCTGCCAACCTCTTCGTCTTCATCTTCATCTATACCTTCCTCATCTTCAGAAAAAACCTCATCTTCCTCTTCAACTTCATCTTCTTCATCCTCATCCATCATGGCTTTACCCCTCTCATCTTTGTCCTTCAAACCGGTGCTCAAGACCACAGTTTCTCCCCTGGATTTCTCCATATCCTTCCTTAACTTCTCCATGTTCTCCTTTCTGTGTTCCTCCTCTAATCGTTGCTTCTCTGCCCGTCTCTTGTCCAGATCAGCCCTACAGAAGCAATAAGAAGCAAGAAATTGTTAAAACTAGATCAAATATACACATAATCATGGCCTACATCATAGACATATTCCCACTGGCATTATAGCATAAAGTGAAGGTACGTTCTTGAAGTTCATGCATTACTTATAAGTTTCCATGTATTCATCAGTACTTGCTTCAATGGCGTTAAAGAAATCCTTCATTCCAGCACCAGTAACCGCAGACACTCCAACAGACCGCAAGTTCTTATAGAATTCATCCAACACAAGGGAGAGGCTCTGAGCCAAATTTGAAGAATATGAACTATCTGCACTCACCGCTGCTTGAAATGTCTCAAAATCCTCCATCCACTGCGTGAACACAGCAGTTTTCAGGACAAAGAAAGTAAAAAAAAATAAAAATCAAAGAACACGTTTTACACGTTTGAGATTACAGTAAAAATAGTAGAACAGCTGCAACTTAAGTGCATGACAGTATTTTAGATGAACACAGTCAAAATAGGAAAAGAAAAAATGCAGTACTCCAAAAACAAAATACATTGAACTACTATTCTTCTATATAAATTTTGAAACTATTTCCATCAGGCTACTTAAATCCGGACATATAAAAATGGTATTCCAACACTTGAATCACAATAAGGTTGAACAGAGCTAGTCTACTCGAAAAATGGCATAATCTAATCCCCGAGATTGTTTTATGCTCTGCTACCTGTCACTACTAGAGTTTCATATGACAAACTGCCCCCTAAAAGAATTGTTGCACAATCTCTACATTCGTTTGGTATTTTAAACTTAAATAACTATAAACCACCTGAGTTTGAGACAGATTCTACCGCTAGGCCCGAGCAATATATTCCTGGAACCATCTACTGCTTATATTATGGCCAACTGACTTAACTTATGGTTTACCCTAAAAGTTAGCAGACACACCATATTCAAGCACTTCAGCGATGCGAGTATGTCATTAAAGTGTTTATGTATATGTGTATCAGTCTATGTCTGCATGCACTCTCCTGCCTGCACTTACATCTAAAACTGTAAACATACCTCCAAAGCAAACTGATGTTGAGCAACGTCAATCTTGTTGAATGCCAACACAAGAGGCAGCCTTGTCTTGTAAAGGATACTGCAAGCGTACAACATATTGCTCATAAAAGTAACTGGACTAGCTGAACGAGGCGTATCTACCACATACGCGATTACAGTGGGAAATGTTGAAGCAAATGCTTCTGTGATGATAGCACCAGAAGCCGACCAAGTGAATATCTCAATCTGACCAGGAGTGTCCACAAGAACATAATCAAGCTGATCCGCTCGCTTCTCAATGACAGAGACAACCTGAAAATTTAGACGATGATGACAATTTCATTTTTTATTAAATGAGAGAAAAAGAATGAAGCAAATAAGAAAATATGAGTTACAAGAACCACATTAAGAGCTTAGTCATATGGATCCAACCAAAATCGCCATGCATTTGGAAACAATTTGAAAAATTAGAACCAGTACTCAAGCCAACGATGCAATACAATATACAAAGTTATTGAATGAAATCACCATAAAATCTGATGTACTATGCATGTGATACAAAACTCCTCTGAATGCTTACGAAGACGGGTTATGATAGTAACAAAATGGCACCGTGTCTCATTCACAGGGCTCTCCAAACGCTCTAGTCAACAAAATGATTTAAGGTGAAAATTCAAAAGCAATTTCTTACCTCATCAAACTTGGTAGCAAACAAGTTGAGTGAAGTCAAAATCCCACCATTTGGTCCAAGATTGAACTGTTTCATCACCTCCTTGTACCGAACAGTATCCCTTATGTCAATGTTGGCACCAAACGGGAGAGTCATCACAGCCGGGTCGAGATTCATCACATAGCCACGAATGTTCGATTCATGTGTGTGTGAAACCAACCGATGCATAAAGGTTGTCTTGCCACTCCCTAAGTAAAAACCCATAACGCATTTCAATCGCTTAACTTCGAGTAGTCACATAGTAAGTTAATAACACAATTCGTCACCAAATTAGGAACCGAAATGCATCAAGTAAAACAACCAAATTCGATGAAGTTACCTGCCATGCCCACAACGATTACAATAACCGGTTTTCTCTTGAAGTTGGACACTGCTGCCTGCCCTGATCCAGAAGACGATTCCTCAACTTGGAGTTTCTTCATTGAATTAGTAAGCTCCTCACTTTCTTTCCCATCATTCTTCTGAGCAAAATCAAACACAAAAAGCTTAATCCAGGTTCAATAAAAAACCAATATAGTTAAGAACTCGACAAACAAATCCTAGTGTGCGAATGAGAGAGAAGGTGAGAGAGAGAGTACTTTGATGGCAGACGAGTTTTCAGAGTCCATGGGAACTGGCGGGTCGCCTGCTTCCTGCGATTTGATATTGATTTTCTGGGAATCGGAATCAATGTCCATTTGAGTGAAGGAGAGTTGCTGGGTTTGGCTGCTCGTCGGAAGTAGGGCTGCGACACTGTGAGCTGCGGCGGGAGTGTGGGGTTTATGGGAGGTTCAGGGATTTATCGGCCGAAATAGAATAAAAAGGCCGAAATTTGGGAACTATTTGACCTTGACCTGTATTTCACGCAAATTCTGAAACCCTATGTCTTTTATTGTGTATACGACGTCGTAGCGGGCTCCAAATTATTTGACAGAAAATTGCACAAACACCCGCTGAAGTATTAAGGGTGTGCAAATATACCACCCAATAAATTTTGATAATTTACCACCCGAACTAGTGTTTTAGCACTCGTGCTCTTCATTATTTTTTGAAAAATTTCAAGTACAAAAACGTATCATCTGAAGCGCATGTGAGTCGTTTTTCAAAAGCATTTTTACTACTCAAGTACCTATAGGTGACAAGTGAGAAACCAATTGACTAAAGCTCGTAAGACATATCTTATACCTCTTCAAAGACAAGTTGTAGATTTGTAGTCAATAAAATTATAACTCAAGTCGTCTAATTAATGAGTGGTGTTTGTGCTTTATTCTTTCTTTTTTTCTTAAAAAATAGAACCAGCTGATGTCTTACCTTGATAATCTACTATTTTGGAGACTGAGAAAACTCACAAATGCATTGTAGCCTTCTCTAGTCAAGATTGTGTGATTTACCAGTCTCAGAAGTCAAATTCAAGATGTACCGTTTGAAATACGGGTCTGAAATGCATTCCTGACACTGAACAACTATGTGGTAGTTAACAATTGATATTTAAAGCATGTATGTATGACACTTGTACAGTGGTTGAAGAAAAAAGAGGGCGCAAGGACCATTACTTTTCAATGCAAATTCTTCTCCCCAACCGGAGGCACCATCCACCAGTCACGTTTTTTGAGTCTAGAGTCGTATACAGCAGGCGGACAAAAGTCTTTCTCGTCTTATGTGAACTTGGGTGGACAACTTAAATAGCAGCTATGTATTTTTCTTAATAGGGAAGGGGGAGGACCTCCAATTGTTGTGGTCCTCTCTTCTTTGGGATCGAGATTTGGAACAATGCGTCTTGTGGATTAGAATCAAGGGACTAATCTCACCTAATTTTTAGTTCAATTATAAAAAGTCTTCAATCCTTAGTGATAGCTACAATTTTAAATTAATTAAGAGGTAATAGTAGGAATTGATTCAATGTTTGTGCTATAACTAGCTAGATTAAGTTTAAAATGTACTTTAACTAACAAGATAAATCCAATAAACAAAACTCAAGTTGTTGAAATATAAAATGATGATGCTTCAACACATAAATTATACAGATTCATTTGATTTCGAGACCGTCAAAGCAACAAGAAATTCTCTATAGTCGCCGGACGGGATGTTGTCACAGATTGCATCTCTCAGTTCCATCCCATGCTTCATCTTAAACTCCCTTTTAATTTCATCCATGTCTACTTCTGCCCTGCTCACCATCACACGTCGCACTGCACCTTCGTCGCTGATACACCCCTTCATGCTTGCATACAACATCTGCTAATTAGCTCAACTAGTTAATTAATTTGTTTAATCTTCTCCAATTCTTAATCTCAAGGAATTAAACTTAGCAAAAAATAAATACAACAGTAATTTACCGTAGCGAAATAGTCAGGTGGATTGTAGATGCATTGTACTACCATTTTCATTGCATTTTCAAGTTCTCCGTAGTTTCTGGTTTTCAGGGACTGCAGCACACAAAATAATAAGCTGTTGTTTAAAACTCCAGAAAACCGAGCAGAATGTGAAACTGTGATTGGAAATTAACTGTTAATTAGTTAATTAATTACCTCTGTATACTCATGTCCGTAGATGTGTTTATAGCACGAAAATGTAAGCTTAAGCTGCGGAATACTCCGTTTACTTAGTATTTCTAAGACAACGGCTTCTTCTATGGGACCGGAACCCCCCTCCCCAGTTTCGTAAAGCCTCCTTGCGTCCACCTTCGCGATATGTTGGCTAACGTCCGCATGGTGTGCCTTATGTGATGCAACCAATGCTACCAGTATCTGTTGTGTAATAATGTGCAAACATTGTGTTGTTTCATATTTTAGGCTTCATTAATTACTATATAACGAGGTTTAATTAATGATAATTACCTTTTGGTAAGGATTGGGAGGCTCGATGTTGATGATATCTTGGTCTAACTGCCTCCAAAATCTTCTGTAGTATGCTTGCTTGATAAGAAGGATATGACTCGATTTTCGACCCACAAAAATCTCTACAAGCGCGTTGTAGTTTGTATTGCCTTTCTGATCATCAAGGGCCTCGCGGACCACGACAGCATCACGCTCGTGCTGCTCAGTCATCCACATAGACAAGGCAGCACATAATTTTGGTGAAATCCCAGCAGCAGCTGCTTCTTTGAGTCTGTTTACCAAGTCATCTCCATAGATTGACTTGTAAGTTTCTCTAATCTGTTGCCTCTCATGCCGCGTTCGATTCGCCAAAGCTCGAGCCAATCGGTTTAGCTGTCCCCAAGAACCATGAATCTCTCTGCATTCAGTTTCAAAACTGAGGGTCGACATGGCCAGCATTATTTTTGATTGGTTATTGAAGTCAAGAGACTACATATTAATGCAGGGATGACTTGCAGCCCAAGGAAGGGATTTTTCTTTTCACTTTTTGGGCATGGCTATTTTGTTAAGTGGTAGTGCTGGATAGTAGTGTATTTATTCATATAAGTGGAAGTCCAGTGGAAAACGAAGCATGTGAAAGTTGTTTTGTAGCAAAAGGTTGGTGGATTCCTATTAGACAATGACTATGAACCGACCTACTTTTTGGCAACTTTTCTAAAGTCCGTTCCAGCGTCATCCGTCTCTCTTTTCGTTTAGCATTGTAGAAGTACCATTTTAAGTATTGTTGACCTTAAATTTCAAAAATTTACATGATGCGCAAGTTGAGTAATTTAATGAACTAACTATGTTTTTATGTGGTTGATTGTTGATGCAGGTGTGCCACTATCAAGCTCGCGGGGCAAATACTTCTGAGTGTGGTAGTATACGATGGAATGTGTTTTTAATTTCTTAATTAGGCGAACTCAGCCGAATAAGGAACGCTCTTGGCTAGGTTCTAAAATCTAAATACAAGGTTATGCTTTTGTTACTAAATTCAATCTTCAACACCCGGTTCAACATCTTTAACTATATTTGTAAAAATATAAGTGCATTGAATCTGTATCAAACTTTAGGGACAAAGATACTCAAAGGAGACGAGTGTCTTTATAACAAAGATGGTTCAACCGTCGTTTGGCGAAAGAATCAAAAATAGTTTGCCGGCAGAGACTTGAGATAATAACCAGTTGAAAGAGGAGAGCTTGTTGTTTAACCAAATTGTCAAGACTCCTAGGCTGATCTGATTCTACAATTGCAGAGCTGTTTAATCAAATTGTCACTTTCGCCGGTTGTCAACCTAGCAATGTTTAACCAAATAGAATTTGCGCTGACGTGTTAGTGGAGTGGTTAATATTTTTTTCCAAGGATGTGAGAGAGTTTCATGTAGAGCATTGATTTATGTGTTGAGTTGAAGGTCCTTTTTTCATTGTATGCAACTTTTTATTGGTAGGGACGTGCATGCCTTGAATGCTAAGTCTGCCGAATTGTAGAGTCAGAGAGCACCACTTTAGATTCCCTTGACCATACCCTTATAATTATCTCAGCATCAATTCAGAAAGAATTTGGTTGCATAAAAGATCAAATTCATTTGATTTATGGGATAAAAGCACATGCTAATATCAACTCACGGCTCCTTGTTGATGTATGATATCTATACTCTTTTTTACTTCTCACACATTTGTAATTTTTTACTGTCGAATCAAATGAGTTGAAGAAGATCAAAGAATATAAATTAATAAGAGGTGTGGATGGCACACCCCTACTCTTTTATCCTTATATCTTGCATAGAAAAACGTCAAGATAATTCCACTAAATTGTTAATAGATATTTATCGGGATTAAAAATCATAATATTATCTGTCAACAACAATTGAAAGTTATCTTAACAGTTTCTCCATCCAACGGTCTAGCATACATAAGCTGATAGTGCTAAAACGGGTACAAACAAGTATAAATACAACTAGCACTATCGTGAGATATTAATGTGTTTCCTCCTTATGCAACGAGTTTGAATCCACTGTTTCATAATTAAAAATGAATTAGAGTAGATTATTGTCTTTTAAAAAAGTTAAACAAAAAGCTTGTTGATCTCATAATACATGAGAAGTACAATTAGGCATTTATTTATTTTATTTTGGAGGATGAGCCAATTGAATTCGATGCAATTCAACATTATACCGCTGTTCTAAAAATTTGATATCGAATCGTGTTGGATTAAGTAATAGAGAGATCAAATTCCACATTACCTAATAAAATTAAACTAACCTTGACTTTACGTGTAAAGAGGGAAAATATATAATTACCAAGAGGGCAGTCAAGGGTGAAGGAGATCATAAATTTGGGGTTTAGGAAAAGTGCTAAAGGGGTCAGACAGAGTGTTCTTGTTACTAAAATTATTTGTTTTCATATATATGAGTGAAATTTAATTGGTGATCACTTTTGAATTCCACTTTTTTAACACAACGATATTGAGTGGTAGGGTAAGTTTTTGGTTTAAATCACACAATTAACTAGTTATAGTTAAGTATTAACTTTATCGTTGATACTAGTAGAATATGAGATCTTTCACTTAGAAGATGGATGAATACTCCTAGAAAAAAATAAGTCACCGATTCAATTACAAGATACTATCATTATTGCCTAAACAATTAGACAACCAACCCGTAATCTTAACGATGCAATTGCAACAACGAAGCTTTACCAACTGAGCTATATCCTCCGAGCCAAGTGGAGCATGCATGAATATCAAAATCGTGATTTAACATACAAAGTGGTATCGAAACTCGTGGTGTTTTGGATGGCTCCCTTACGGACCTTTTGCATATTTTTTGTTGGGGACCAACTCCATGGAATGGTCGAAACATGCATACTGGTGTCTGAAGGAAATTAAGACAAGGGTCATCACATGCATATAGAGTAAAATAACATGCGTGTTCTCGCTTTGGAGTACAAAGTGGAAACATCACGCCCTCAATCCATCAACCGGAGCAACTATCGCACGATCTTGGATAATTTTCCATTCGGTGTGTTCAAGATTAAAGTGTTGCTATATTTTAATCATATAGTAAATGAATAAATCATCATGTACATGGAAGTGAAATAGAAAATATTGAAAAATCGGTGGTGAAGGCAAATGTTAGAGATTTCGTCTTAAGATAATTTTACGCCCTACTATTTATCAGTGGTTGATTGGCGCTTATTTCTCAAAATACAACGACTATATTTTTATAATAGTAGCACTTCAAATCACCAAGTTCTAATAGATCACACAATTGTTGAATACCTTCTCATATGGACTCAACGATACGTGACTACATTGAGACTTGTCTATTTGTAAAAGTTGAGATGCTACTTTGGAAATTATGTGACAATTCATGAAGAGTAAAAAATGACAACTGTTTATTTGAATTTCATATTAAGATAGACACTTTTTTTTTTCACCAAAACATCGCTTAAATTTTCCATTCAATTAATAAATTTAATATTAGAATAATACTAAATTTTCCGACACGTTCAAGATTAATGTGGATGGTTTTGAAACCGTTGAAGTATGTCTCACATCATAAATCTAATGAAGTTAATTTGCTCTTATATTGTAAGTGGTCCTCTACCATAGTGATGGAGATGAATGTTGCCTTTGAACTACGGTATGGGTTCGAACTCTGTTCGCTTTTTAATCTAACATCTAATCTGACAAATCTATTGTTAACAAATTATATTGAACAATTCTACTACTAATTATGTTGTATCGAGACATTATGTGTAAAATCTCACACCTATTAAATTGAATGGGTGGTACAATATCAATATTGATTACTGTTGCGTGCTAACTGCATCAAGGCCTTTTGTATCGTAATCAGCTTGTTTTGACATGCTTCGTGCCAATGGAGTCACTGAAGTTAGCTGATACAATGTAGCACAAGATTTGGATTGTTTTGCGATTAGTTATGATTTTGCATTCCCCTTTCTGTTTTTCCTCTCTGTCGTCCATCCTCCTTCCCGTTTCTCCTCGATCCCACCTTTTAGATTTGCAACCACTAATCTTCCTCGCGATTCTTTCGGAAGGTGCGTTTAGTTCCGGCTCCGCTGGTCATGCACACCATCTCCTTCCATCTGTGCGCCCTTGTTGACACTGTTGCTTGTCGGTTGCTTCTTCCCGCGAGCTTCCTTAATTTGGTCCTTCAATTGGTGGCTGCAACTTCTAGTGTGCTCTTTGGAGGACGATCGAGTCTTTTGCTCTTCCACTTTTTGGATACTGCTCGGCTTGATTTCAGGCAGTTGTTGGGTGTTGGTTTGCGGCTTTGGTTGCTGGTTTCTACATTGTGTTCTTGGGTTTTTCTGTTTTGGGCTCTTTGGGGTTACTTTTGGGGTCTCCTTTTGTTGTGTGCTTATTTTGTGTTTGGACCTTTTTATGTAATTATGTTTTCTGTTTGTTGGTAATGAAATTACCTTTGACCAGAAAAATAATTTTGTAACATGGAAGCATGTTATTACTATCTTTGAGACAGTGCTTGCACATAAAGAATGCCATGCAGCATATTCTCTTTAAAAATATTCTTGTTGGTGTTATCCTCAATGCATAAGCAGGCAGTGACAAGAAACTAGCGTCCCACTTTTTTATATACATTGATTATATTCTACTCGGAGGGAAATGAGTTAAGCCACACACTGAATTAGTTATGATTATGTTTGAACATAACATCAATATTTATCACTTAAGTCGAACATGAAACGTCTTATTTACAAATAACAAAATTATTCGGTCGTATTATTGTTTATAAATATATGACTTTGTTATTTTCAATTTTATAGGTTTTTTTTGTTTTATTCAAAATGGTCAATGGGATTGATATAACTTTTCACTTTAGTTCCTTCAATGAAAACCGATAGAAGTGATCCTTGCATTTGCTCATTGTAAATAATTTTGATCATTCCGTGAAAAGTTTGTCAATATACTTGTTAACTTATCACAAGAACGACTACGTGACCACCTTTTTTATTTTTGTCAAACCAATCTCTCTATTTAACGATTATATTGATAAATTTTTTACAGAATGACCAGAATAATTTACAATAAAAAGCTCAAAGATCACTTCTGTAGATTTTGAAAGACTAAAGTAAAAAATTACGCTATTTTCAGAGACTATTTTGACTGAAAAACTTTTTTCATATGAAGAGTATAAAAGTAGCATCCGAGCTGTGCGTTAGAGTAGAGGTTGGTCAAACGAACATAAGATTAAGACAAATAGCAGAATAGTTAAGAATAAAAATGGGTAAGTCCATCCAACTCATCCGGTCCCGTTCGGCGCGCGGACTCTAATTTCAGTTTTGGCCAATTGGAACGCACCACACATTGACCAAGAAAGGAATCATAACATGCTTTTGTCCTTTTACTGTACTACCTATCTTTTTAGCCTTCTTTTTCTTCATAAAATAGTACGACAAAGAGAATTGTATCTTCCCTTCTACTTATTCCAAATAAAAAGTTTGAATTTTTTTACTTAATCATTTTCTTGTCAGATGTTAATTTATTTTGTCAAATGATAGTTATTCGTTAAATTCGAATATAAATATTTGTATTAAAAGCAAGAATGTTAAACAACCATTCAAAAAAGAACATGTTCTTATGTATGAATTTATCGATTCTTATTCGCAAAAAAAAAATTACTGAGTACGTTGCTTTGCATCGTCGAGAAGCAAAGCAACAAGAACTCAACTAGCTCCAAACGACGATGCAAAGCAACAAGAACTCAACTAGCTCCAAATGTGTTGCTAACTCCCTCCTTTCAAGTAGGATGTCTTCAATAGACACATCAACAACCCTTTCTCAAACGTTATTGGAGAAATGAGGAATTAATCGTCCGACATAAAATGAAAGGATAAATGCTCGTGACCATTTAAATTGCAAATTTCTTATTGTAATCGATGTGAACTTTATGCGATACCGGTAAACATTTTTCCATTCATCTATGCAATGAGACCTCAATTTAGAGACCACGAAGAACGAAAACACAATATTACTCCATTCCCTTATCATTTCTAGGATTAATCAAAAGAAATATCAATGAATTTGATGTGAAAGGTGATTTCAAGTACACTTATGCCTCCTTTATTTTTTTAAATAAACTAATTTAATTAGTTGGCTAATTATTAGATGTTTTTTACTTGCAAGAAAAAGCTTGTAGTTCAAAGTTTAAGATCATTTAACTCCGAGACATAAAAAGGAGAAATTGTAGCAATGGTAAATCAACTTAACTTAACTGGAGCAATTATCTTTTAATAAAAAATTTGTGATCATTGGTCACTTAATTCCTTAAAACGTGCAGGTACGGTACTTTTCCTTAACTCTGTCAGAACATCCTTTAAAATGAGTTATGGCGTACGGATCATGGTACAATCTAGATAAATTAAGGGATCATTACTCTAATTGGATTAAAGTTGAGGAATCATTGCTAAAATTTCCTCATTTAGTTTTCCATATTTGCCCATTGACAAAAATTCTAATGGAATCGACGAAAAAGATTATAGTCTATGTTTTAATAAGTTAAGAGATCAATGATCATAAATTTTTAGTTAAAGAACCATTATTTCAATTAAGTTAAAATTGAAATATCATACCATTTCCTCGCATAAAAAATGACTTGGGCCAAAAGAAAAGTCTTGTCAGGGACTTTGCTTTGTTATTTCTTCCCTTTGTATCAACTGTGAAGAGCAAAAAGAATAAATCACAGCAATTAGTAGAATAAAAACTAAAAAGCACATAAAATGGTGTCGTATCATGAAGCCGAAAGGACAAAATAGGAAGTTCAATAAAAGAGAAATTTGAGAAGATAGCAGGGTTATTTAAGGAAAATGATTGTGAAGCTGCCCATCTCCACAAAAATACATTCCTTCTCTCTCTCTCTCTCTCTCTCTCTCTGGTCTGGTCTGGTGGTTGGCACTTCAATTTTTCTCCCCCAAGTCCTAGCTATACCAACCACCGGCGCCGCCGCCAGCAACCCTTCTGAAAGGAGAAGACTTTCCCTCTTTCACAGAGCTCACACTCACAATGCAGCAGCAGGTCTTCCAACAAACCTACTTACAGATACAATTTTACTTACGTACTTAGATTTTGTGAATTTTAGAAATTAATTTGAATTTTAATTTTTGGCAGACGAGGACGGTCCAAGTAAAGCAACTGTCAGATCTAGCTAGCGAGAGAGAGATTCACGAGTTCTTCTCCTTCTCTGGGGAAATCGAACGCATTCAGATCCAACGGTAAAAAATTTCGTTTTTTGATTTTTTATACTTACATTGGGGGTTTTCATTCTGTTTGGTTCCCGAGAAAATAAAATGTAAGAAGAGAAGGTTTTTTTCTTAATTTTCCCGGTAATTTTCAGAGGGAAAGAAAGGTAAATAAAGGAAAAAGGGTAGAGTCAACTTAAGTAAGAAAATAATGTACTTACCTACATGCATGCATACTTACATTAAAATTTGAGAAAATGGAAGAAAAAAGTATTTGACTTGAGTTTATTTTCCAAAAAAAAATGAAAATTTGAACTTATAATCTGATATATGCTGGAACCCGGTTATGTGTTTCGAAAGTGGCAAGCTTTTGTTGCAGTTGTTAATCTTGTTTTCTGAATTGGTTGTCTGTGCAGTGAGCCCGGGAAATCAAAGACTGCATTTGTTACTTTCAAGGATCCCAAAGCTCTTGAAATCGCATTGTTGTTATCGGTATTGTTCTCAAATTTGTTTTTCAATTTCTTGGAATTGAAGTCAATGCCTAATAAGTAATAATTATTTTCTTCATAAGCAATGCTTGTTTCTTTGTTTTCCTTAGAGGTTGTCTGTTGAGTTGATTAAAATGCAATTTTTGGAAGCGAGCATTGAGCACTTTCTTTAGCTTCAAGCCAGGCTTTTTGTGCTTTCATTTGTATGCTCAATGTGAGTTGATTTGAAAAGCACTAAAAGAACCCTGGTATCTTAAATGGTGATATGTCAATGAATAAGTTATGAGAAAGGGATTTTCCACACTACTTGTTGATTGGATGCTTAGTTTGTGGTTCTAATTTTACAAATTTCAATTGTTTGAAGTGTAACTTACACAATCCATTTCTTTATAGATGCTTGATCTAAGGCTGTCGCGTGTTCAATTCACTTGTGTGACATCTACTACTTTCCTTGACATGATCTGAAGAAGCAGATTCTTCAATTAAATGTTTTGAGGGTTTTAACTTGTTTTGGGAGTCATTTTCAGTTAATATGAATCTTCTGCTCTTTGGCTCTATGTAATGGAAACTGTGTTTTGGTTGCAGGGAGCAACGATAGTAGATCAGATCGTGACTATTTCTCCTGTTCAAAATTATGTACCAATTGAGATGCAGGTAAGCTTCATTTAAAAGTGTCTGCAATCTTGTTTCTTTCCTACAGCCAAGCTTTGGATTTCATTTTGTGCAATTCATACAGGAGGTTAGGATGGTCGTAAGTGCTGATTCTGTTGCTCCTGCTGAAAATATTTCACCAGATGCTGAGGTAGCCAATGACACCACCACATATTTTATGATATTAAGAATCTTACCTGTTTAAAAACTTCACATGTATAGTTATTTAAGTGCAGTTTCAGTGGATATCAGAGAATTACTGGAAATGGAAAAAATTGTGCGTTGAGAACTTGAGAATGTCGAATCCCACATTGGGATTTAAACCTTGCATCACTAATAAGATCTTTAATATGGATGAGAATGTATGTTTATATGCATGGGTCGCCTTGTATGTCATTTCTCTGTTCTTTTAGGGCATTGTAGTGTATGAATGAGAAAATTACATAACTAGAAAACAAAGATTAATGACTTGACATGGAATACGTTTTTCCATTTTCATAGCCTTCTGCCTTATAAAATATCTACTAGCACATTCATTTTTTGGATTGCGACATCTAGGTGGTCCATCCTCAATATTATGATAATGACTGATGACATGCTAGAGATGAGCAAATACCCAAGTGATCTATGCTGAAACCTCTGTTTCCTAACATCTTCAGCAGTTGACTTACTTTTAAATATTTCCTAGTTTATGGGCTCAGGGTATTTTTATTCTCTCGTATCAGGATAAAACTGGCTCCCCTACCAGGGTGTATGTTAATAAAGCACAAGATGTGGTGACCACTATGTTTGCAAAGGGTTCGGCTATTGGACAAGATGCCGTGAACAAGGCTAAAGCATTTGATGAAAAGCATCGGTTGACAGCAAGTGCATCAGAGAAGGTCATTTCCTTTGACAGGAAAGTGGGGCTTACAGAGAAATTGACAGTAGGCATTTCTGTGGTTAATGAGAAAGTGAAGTCTGTTGATCAGAGGCTTCATGTCTCAGATAAAACAATGGCAGCAATATTTGCAGCAGAGAGAAAATTGAATGATACGGGGTCAGCTGTCAAAACAAGCAGGTATATGAGCCCATAGTCAATCTAGTTAGCAGTTTTCTGCTGTAAATTGTTGCATGCCTTCATTAAGAATGAGGTGAAAGTGCAAAATGGATTGTGTGCAAATTAACCAGGGCAGTGGTATACATTGTTCATTTGTGTGACTTGAAGCCTTTTTTGCTTGGTACACATTCTTCAAACACCCAAATACTTATATAGGCCACTTCTATAGTATGTGCTACAAATAAAAATCCGATATTGGGTATACAAAACCCAGTTGCTCTTCATGCGTTTTCAATTTTTCTAGGTTGGATTCCACAACTTTGATAGTATATATTTTTTGACATATACCAGGATCTTTAACTTAAGTAGCACTCATTCTGATAACGCTTTAGTTCTTTGGATTGTTTAGAGTCAGTTTGTTGGTTCAATTCTGATTTTCTTGTTCTTCACAAATTACTTTTAATAGATGACTGAAACATCATCGCTGTGTGTACCAAAAAATCCTTTTTGTTGACCCTCTTTCCCTGGACTGGATTTTCCTATGTTAGTGTTTGTTTGATGGTTCTATGTTCGTGTTTTGACAATAATGGACTCACCCCTAAAAAGTGACATGAAAGTAAAGAAGGGAATTGTTATTAGCACTCCAAACAAGTTACCCTACACTCCTCTTTTATTATTATTTCACTAGGAAGGAGTGTGGGAAGACTGTTTTGGAGTGCCAATAGCAGCTCAAATAAAGAATTGATACTGTAAATGACAGCATAATCATCTCTATTGATAGATGAGAATAGAAGAGAATGTTAGTTGACAAACTCTTATGTGGTGCTGACAGGTATGTGACTGCTGGAGCAGCGTGGCTAAATGGTGCTTTTGGTAAGGTGGCAAAGGCAGGACAGGTTGCAGGTACAAAAACCAGAGAAAAGTTCCATATGGCTGTCTCAAACTTGACGGCAAAGGTTTGTTTACTTATCTATCAGTATTATTTACATTATTGCTTTTCTGTTTTGGTAAAAATTTACGTTGAGTTCTGAGAGCCAGTAATTTTGTACTTTAGTCACAGTTTTTTTCTAATTTAAAACATAATACGCATAATTTTTCCAACCTTAAAGGGCCACAAAGCCGTATCCATCTTTCTTTAGGTTGAATTTAAGAATAGACTTACCCTCTGTATCTGTTGTACTGCCTTGCTCAAATGTGCTAGAAACTCCAGGGCATTACCCCTTTGAAAAATAAATGATTAAGCAATTAAATCTTCAACTAATTATTCAATGCAAGAGGAATAATTGTGTCTCCAACCAAATCTCCTACTATTTAGGGTAACTGTATATAATCCGAACCAGAAATGAAGTAAATTTATGCTTGGTTATGTTCTGTTGTAAATTTGTAAATTGTAATTGCGTCTCTCCCCTCAAATGCAGGATCCAATTGCTGCGTAAGCCAAAGGTTTCAGGTGGGAGAAACAAACCTCGATGCACATTCTTTCATGAACACACTCAACAACCATGTTGCGCTGGTGATCAGTTTGAGGACGGGGTTAAATTGAAAACAGGTTGCAGGTTTGGTAAAGATTTGGATGAATCGCTTTGTGATTCGCTCGTTATGGTGTGATGTGTGCACTCAAGTTTTGCGTTCATTCTTTTCGTTCTTTATATCATTCGATTCGTAGTGTATTGCCTGTGGCTATGTGTAATTTTTCTGTCAAGTTTTGTTGAGTGGAAGAACATATATAAAAGAGAAGAAAAGGTATTTGATTGAACAGAAAGAAATCAGAATTGTCAGAAAATGTTGTTGGCAGAGACTTTTCCTGTTCATTTTGTAAATTTGTTTTTACAAACCACAGTTCATTACATTCAAAATAACAAGAATGTAATAGATAAGTAAATGACTATTTTGGTGTCCCCGTCGTCGGAATATTGGCTGCTAGTATCTCAGCTCCGGGAGTCGAAGTTCCATGCCAGATTTGAGTCCCGGTAGTCTGCGTCCTGAGTTCTGGTATTGAGTGCCACGAATTAGGGTTATGGATTCGGGTACCGGGAGTTAGGGTGTTACATTTGTGTTTGGGGCGCCGGGGTCCTTGGGGTTTTGTACTGTTTAATGTTTGCCTCGCACCCTTTCACTCGAGCTTGAATGTCTTTCTATAAAATTAGAGTAGTTTAAAATATCGTATGATCAAAAAAAAAGAAAGAAAAAAGGACAAGTTTGCATCTTAAAATGAAAACACAAAGTTAAACGAAAAACGAAGGAAAATCTGAAGGTTATGGTCGGGGGTTGTTTATTTGGAGTACAACAAAATATTTACACTAAAAAGTAAGGAGATATATTAGTCATTATCAAGATTCATACTTATTTTAGTAGGAAGATAAATTGGTTCGAACTTTTCATTATCGAAATTCGAACTTAAACATCTCACTGACATACTAGTAACGAAGAATACCTCGTAAAGAAAGAATTTCTCATGACACTTCTTTTTTGTGCATAACAGTTCTTCAACTAATTCTAACCTTTTAGATTCCAAGTCATTCTTAAAGGTCAACTAAGTAACAATCAATAAATTCCGAAATTATTTAGTCCTCTAATTGTTATCCAATATAACTAAATGAACCATGTTATTCGATTAGAGTCTAACTGTTATCCAATATCATTTAGTCAATTGATGAATTTAGTCATCTAACTGGAAAAACCGAGCACAATTGAGTTTAGACCTTGAAATTTTGACAACGTTAATCGAACAATTAAATAATTTTTTCTGATTTCTAGAGTGTGAGGCTAAAAGTAGAGTCAAGAAGATGAAACTTTGGATTATGATTCTCTCCCTCCTCTTTCTATCCTCTTTCATCTCTTCTCTTATAGTCTTTATTTTGTCTTTTTCTTTCTATAAAAATTAATATAAGATGTTGAAGTAACTTAACCGACCGTTCAAATAAGGAGAGAAAAAGAAAAAAAAGAAAAAAAAAAAAGAAGAGGAGTGAGAATCCTTCTCGGTAGGCATTCTCGTGAACATACACCAAAAATGAGAAAGAAGCTGCAAGAAAACGAGAACCAAAGCTGGTAGCAACAATTATAATCCCCAAAATGCCCTTCTAGTTAAAAGACGCGGTTCTCCTCTCTCTGAAGAAAGAAAACAACAGAACGCAACACAGCCTTTTAAATTCTCTCTCTTTCTTGCGGAGGAAAAGTCAGGTATTTTCGTATTATTCTTGTACTGCTTAATTATTTTTTGCGATTTTATTTTGGAATTCGATACGATCCAATAGAGTTGGTGAGCTAATTATCTCTGTTTTTTGTGATTTATTCTAGTTTTGGGAAAATGGGTGTTGATTGTTTTCTGGTATATTGATGTGCTTTGGAAACCACCATTTTTGGTGGTCAGTTGGTTCATTTTCTTCCTGTAAATCCTTTATTTTCTTTGATTGACAATTTGATATTCAAATTCATATGCTTTTTTCTTTTATTTAGTTTATTTTTTTATGTTAATTATTACTTGATCAGTGAGTTTTGTGGCTAGTTGTGATAAAGTTTACATTTTTAGTTGATTGGGTGATTGGGTGATTTGTTTCAATTTTTTATGTTTAGATTTGTGATTGGATTATTAGCCAACAGTTGAGCAGAAGCAGGTCTTTAGTTTATGTCTGGGTTTTCATAAAATGAGCAAATATTGTATTAGATATGTATACATACATACATACATACATACATACATATATATATTTTTATATTGCAAGCAAGCAATCCGGCTGATGTTACCGCTGATATAGTGATCTTGCCGTTAATTGCTAACATATCTATACAGTTCGAGCGTAAAATTTTACTTTCATTCTAGCACGTTTGAAGATGGATTTGGCAGTCATTGAGGGTTGGATCTTAGATACATTTACATGTACTCGTGCACGCACATGTGTGTAGCCAAGCTATGGGCTATTCTGTCAACTCCATCTGACTAGATTTTATATTACTGGAATATCTGTGAATTGATCTTCTTCTTGTATTGATTTACTTATGTATATTTTCTTTTACATTGTTTATGGATTTTTAACTTATTGTTTGTAGATTGTGGAGTTATGAATTGGGTTCAACGAAAGATCTATCTCTACAATGTCACATTTGGGCTCTATATGTTGGATTGGTGGGAGCGTTGTCTCTTCAGTATCCTACGTTGTACATCTTTTCTTCTCTTCAATCATCTTGATATTTGTCTTGTTTTAGATTTACATACTTTTATGATTAACTTATTTCCTTTAACATGTGAGTCTAGAGTGTACAATTAGGAACGTTTGATAACATTTCGATTTTTATTTTCATTTTGTGTCAAGATAGAGGGAAATACATGGGAGAAATGAGGGATGTGGAACAATATAAGGAAAGACACACAAAATCAAACTAAAAACCAAAATCATTTCAAGTTGTGTTCACTTTCAAGACTATGTTTTATTCCTTCTTTATTTCTTCACCTCTCTGTCATCACCCTTCTTCTTCCCTCCATTTTTTTGTATACTTCCCTCATATCTCAAGCACAAAAAGTGAAAACTAAAAACTAAGAACGAACTAGTTATCAAGTGGCCCTTGGCATTTTTCTTGAGCTTGTAAGAAATTTCTTCTTGCTGTTATGATTTGGAAAGGTGCCTCTTCTTTGGCAGTTTCTTATATCAATGTGTACTAAGAAGTAAGAACTGACCATACTTCTGAGCTTGTTTTACTTTTTGCTACCATACTGTCATATACAAGTATCCTAAAAAATTGTGTTTTTGGTAATCAGCATCTGCCATATGGTGCAATGCGATGGTTCTTGATGAATAGCCGGAAAAATGCATTTTGGGGAAGTAATACTGATGAGGATTCAAGATTTTTACTAATTATCCCATCATTCTTGGTCAGATTTAGTTTAGGGTTCTCCAGCTTCCTCTCTGCTGTTATATTGCATTTTTCAGTTCCTTAATCTTGACAGATACTTTGGTCGTTGTGTTGCTGTGGTTTGTGTTTTTCAATGTGTCGCGATATTTAATGGAGTTTGGCAAGAGGTAACATTCTAACATCCTTCTCTTGTCCGATATCATTAGGTGATCAAATCTTATCATTATGTTATATTAGACTTCACTATATGTACTTTGCTATGATGTTTTTGGATGTGATAGTATCACGAGCCAGTATGTAATGTGGGATTGGAATTCCATTTAAAAAGGAATCAGTTTACATCTCATGGTTTAGCCTCCTTTGTGGCTTTCAACTTCTTAATACTAGTATAGATGTTGAGTTTTTTTCGTATACCTTCACTCTAGTTTACTCATCTATTTTGGGCATAGAAGAATTTCTATCTGTTCATAACGGGCTGTCTAACAAATGCTCGAATTAGTTTCTGAATTCAAAGCACCATAAACAAAACACCTGAACATTTTGAAGGGTTTATATCTCCTTCTTTCACATAATTTCGATAGGTTTTTGTGGCCTCTACGTACTGTCCAGGAAATGTGGCAATTTAAACTGAAAAAGTTCTGAGGTTTTCGCTAGTATTTTTAGACAGCTTCACATGTATACCGTGTGCCATTAAGAAGCATACGCACAGAATTCTGCAAGCGAAGTTGCTTATGGATTTTCAAAAAGGCGTCCAAAAATAAGAAAACAAATATAAACAAAAGCAAATCAACTGAAGAAATTACTCTTCATTTATTTCTATACAAGTTAATAGTGTTCTTACAGATTATCTACCAGATGTTTACAGACTGTCATTAGTTGAATTGGAATACTGTAATGTATGTAGGTTTAATTTGTTTTGTTTTAATAGTGTCGTGCCAGGCATCTACGGTGAGTCCTGGAGGAAGAATCGACCTGGACTGTTCCCTTCCGGTTGATGACTGAACGATAATTTGAATGCAGCAGCTGCACCGTGTATTAAACTCTGTATTTAGATTTGAATTGTGAACTGTTGACTTTGTGAGAGCAATTGTGCTTGTCCTACACCAGTTTTCTCTTGTTTTATTGCTTAAATTTCACTTAATATAGCAGATAGTTTTACTCCATGCTGTATGAGTATGACGGCATTATTCGTCTAACAGTCGTTTTGCCCGTTACATGTTGTCATTCGTTTTGTTTTTCCCCTTCCCGAAAATTGTTATTTATTTGGTTTCTTCCCCATCTCTTTAAACGATAGGTTACTTTGGTCGAGGTTAAGGTTTTGGGACAAAGTGGCATGAATCGCCGTTGCGGTTATGTAAACTAGAGAAGTTTAGGATATCGTTTTGTCAAAGAAAGAGGAAAATGATGAGTTGCATTTTAAATCTGAAACGTAAAGTTGAAGAAAAAAATGGATAAGGAAAAACCGAGGCCAGTGGTTGGTTGTTAGTTGTTAGATGGAAACTAGATTAGATTATAAGTAATCACGTTGTTTAGAGTTGCCAACTAATGAATCTTGGCTGTTCCGTCCAGCAACAAGAAAAACGGTTTAACGACTGGAAGCACATGGGGAAAGCATGTGCTGTGCTGTAGCCTATAGGAGCCAGTTGCGATTGCTTAGATGACGGATGCCTTCATTTTACAATAATAAATGTGATAGCTGTGGTTGAGGCTGTTGAAGATTACAATATAGGCATAAAGATACTGAAAATGAAGCTTTTTTTTTTTTGATTTTGTTTTTTAAAACGACGATATTGGGACGAGGACTTAAGCTAAACCACACAATAGACCAATTAAAATTAGGACTAGGGTTTAGGTATCGAATTTCTCATTCATAAGAGTCAAACATGAGGCCTACTTAATAATGAAGATTGAGAACATGAGGTCCCTACTTACCAAATTGTATGGATTAAAGTTTGTGATTTTTTTATTTGCCAAAATCTGAGGTATCCCACACTTTGAAGCTCGAACAGGCTAAGAGTTTGTGATTTGAGTAATGTGTAAATGTATATCACACTTTTCCTTTCCCTATAAATGTATCGTCATCTCTCAAGCATTTTGGGCATAATCTTTCTTCAACTAACTTTGTTCTACTCATAGTATGTTGTTGTTAAGCTACATTACAAGGAGTAAGATTTAAATTTAGGTGCAAACGGGACATACTCTGTTATAGTCTGTTCAAAATATCATGAATTTAGAATGTTAACAAAATTTCTAAATAAAAATAGAGAGATACTAGCAAGTTTCTCATTAAAACCTTTTTGTTCTACATTCTCAGCTCCCTTTTTAATTTTGCAATTTCTAAGTCACCCTTTATTAATCAACTCATCTTAAAATCAATCAAATATATAATTTATGTTGTAAACATTACTAGTTTAAGTGTGATTGTGTAAATCCTATATTAGATTTGATTCTAGTTATCATTTCCTATCGTATCTTGTATTCCTTGGGGATTAAGGAATATCTTCTCTCCTTTTACTACTATAAATAAAGGCACAAAGTAGGAGGGATAACAACACACATTCCCCTACAATTCTACAAACACATCTCTTTCACTCTCTCCACTCTTGCCGCCGGCCCCCTTTAACCTTATCAGATAAAATAGACCACAACACGTTATTAGCATGCTCATACCGCTGTGCTTAGGAATCTGATGTTGAAGAATTTTTCTGCATCAAACCAGTTCATCCATATCATCAAGCAATCATGTTATTTCAAAACAACGGTTTTTTTCTCGATATTTTTGCAGCCTTGATAGCATGAACATTCACTATGATGCATGACCCAACTTTCCGTTTTACGAATTTTAGATTCTACATAAAATGTGTATGCCTCATAGTCATAATTGTTGAATTATGTGAATTTGATATTGGTTATGAATTGCATCAAATATATGTACATGCATTAAAATATTAAATTTAATATGCTTTGGAACTCAGGACCTCGAGCACTCGCCCAAGACTGCAGCTTGTGGCTGAACCGTGCCGCAGCCGAGAGCTCCAGGTGAATGTTTAACTGGTATGCAAAAATCACATAAAATTTCGAATATCAAAAGAGTTGTGTACAAGTATGGTTACCTTCTCAATTAAAAAGAAAGGTTGTTCCTTTGGTCTTGGGTGGCTCAACTCAAATTTTTTTTGATATGTTGAAAATTTAGCAACAAAAATCTTCACACCACCATATTTCGTGAACATTAATACGTTGAGTGATGGCCAATTAAAAATATGCAATCCTAAACAGAAACTCGGAAGTAAATTATCAAATTCCATAAATGTTACTTTAGAGAACCCGAACTCCTAGTATGTCGTTTGTGATCCTTCTTCCTTCACAACAATTTCCTCAATTAAAATATGTTATTGTGAATAGTAACTACCATGTCAATCTAAAGCTTCTCTCCCGCTCTCAAATTTCTCTCACTCTGTGACCTCCGTCTCCATGATTCCTCTGCAAGTCCACCACCTCCCTCCACCTTTCCTCATTTCCCAAACTACCCCTCTCCACTCACTCTCTCCCACCTCTCAAACTGTCAAATTTTCCCCCAAGCCGAACCCCTATTCGTCTTCCCCAATTTTGCTATCCAACCCCCCCCTGCAAATTTCTCAGGGCAGCAGGAATCCAAACGTCGTCGCTTTGTTGAAATGAGGAAGAAAGCACCGAAATTTCCACCGAGCTCGAAGACTTGTCGCCGGACGGCGTCGTTTATAAGAAGACGTTAACGTTGGTGGAGTGCTCCGTGTTTGCTGCTCTCACTGGCTTGGTGTACTTCCTCAGCAATTCTCTCGCAATTGAGGTTCGTTGGGTTGGACTGAAATTTGGGTTTCTGATAATTTAGAGAAAAACCCAAATTAACAGTTTTAATTTTGTCGATTTTGTAAGCTATGGTGTTTTTGTTACTGTTGTTGCGTTATAAAGTAGCAGCCTTTTCATATTTCTAGTTCTTCAGTTGGTATTAGGCTGCATTGTTTCAATCTTTGATTGGTTGCAGAGATATACAAAAACAAGTTTTGAACTGTATGATAGCTATTTGGTTCCAACGTTTAAATCCTCATAAGTTAATTTTCAATTTCTTTTGTTTTTGGTATGAATTTGATGTGTATAACTAGTGTACTCGTGTCGGGTTATGCAAGAACTTCGCTGTGATTATCTGTGATGTTTTCGGAAAACGCCTGCTAGTGGTGGAAGACGTAATGATAAGAGCCTAAGAGGCATAGGGCTAACGAGAGTGTATGCATTCTTGTATAGGTTATCTTAAAAAGGTTTGGTTTTCGTGCAGGATTACTTTGGCTGCTTCTTCTCGCTGCCGATAGTGATCACCGCAATGACCCGCCATGTTTAAACTTAAGAGATTGATGTGGCGTTTTCATTACATAATTGCCATTGTTTTCTGATCGTGCTAGGTTGCAACAACTATGCTATTGCTAGACTTGTCTGGTCCGGTGAAAGCCTTAAGCTATTTGGTGAGCGTGCTATCTGTCCCCTTGTTGTTCCTATTATTGTGAATTAGTATGTATTCTGATTCTTCGTGTTCAAAAAAGTTGCTTCTTAATACTTGGAAATCTCTCCTCTCATAGAATAGCTGCGATAGGATAGTTTCATGGTTCTCAAACCATTCCAGACTAGTGATTCATACCGATTGACCAAGATGGACTAGCTAGTTCATTGTTGTTCTAGCCACTGTCGCTTTTACTTTGAACTTTTTTTCTTAAAATTTTTGGTAAGAACCGTATGATACGCACTTAACATGCTAATTAATTATCTTGTGCAGCTTAACCACGGTTTAGTTGGTTTTACGATGGGAAGTTTATGGAGGTATGAAGTGATTCAAATTAGTTTACGCAGTGGCTACGGATTACTTTTTTGACATCACAGTTTTATGGTGAGTCTACTTCAGTTTTAACTGTTATGTTTCAATTTTCGTGTGCACAATTGTAATGTTTTCTCCCCTATCCCCCGAAGTTCATTGAATCTGTTCGAAGCAGTGGTTGTCTCTTAACCAGTTAAAACGCTTTAGTTGGTGGTAACAGTTCTATTAAATGTGCAGGTTCGATCACTGGGTGCTGTAGGGAATGTCTTGATATCGTCGTTCTTGATAAGTGAAAACATACTTGCTTTGGTAATTAACCATCCTTTGTTTGATATTCGTTTTATGTAGTACCGAGATTTGATATGTTTTTTGTTTGTGATTTGGTTTGCGTGCAGATCACTATAAACATTCATGCTTCTCTAACATTCATATTTACTGCATCGGGCATCTATTCAGTCCCGTCAATGGAAGCGATTTATGCCTGATTTGGTTATCAGGTATCTCTCTCTCGCTCTGCCTCTTGCATATGCACTCTTTATATCCTAAAGTATTAAGGCTTTATATTTGTAACATGTATTGATTAATAGCGGATCCTTCATGTTCTTGCTCTACCTACTGTATTCGGTGTTCCTTACTAGGCTCGGGATGAAAGCATCATTACGATTGCCAAGATGGCTGGAGAAGGCTATATAATTTGACTTCCTCTAACTAAGAACCGCAACTGTGGTTTCATTTCTGTAAGTAAGAACGTCGCGCAGATTCAGTATCATGTATTGTCACATTAGTCGTCATTGTTTGCTTACATTCCTTGTCATGTATACATAAAACTACATTTTGGATCGAAAACAGGCAAATGTTCTATTTATCGAAACAATACATGAACCGAGAATAAAAGGTACCCTGAAGTTGACACCAGCATCACTCAAGCTTCCTTCCTAGTTACCCTGTAATTCAACAAGAAACCGCAAGTTAGGATCAAAAGTACGGTATCAATTGGCACTCCAAAGAAAAGGAACAAAATTTGGTGAACGGAAGCAAACTGTCGTCTAGGTAAAAGAATGAGCACAGATTCAGAACACCGTGCTCAATCAAATTTCAGGCTGTATTAGTCAAAAAATTATTTGGACTTGGGTGAGTAATATGCTTCGATTCTGAATGTAACAAACATTCTCACCTAAAGCAATAGATTCCCAAGGCTGTTGTGATCTCGTGAACAACTGATGTTGCAAAGTGAAGATAGAGTGTCGCTGCATTCAGAGAAAAGTGAAATTCAGCCACAAGGTATGGTACCGTGTAATGAATTCGTAAGTACATACTACATCCATAAAAATGGTAGTGTGTCATGTATTTCGAATACGCAAACCACCATAACAAATTACCATACCTGTAAATGCACAGTAACCAAGAAGAACCCAGCTCTCATCAACCAAAGGAACTCTGCAACAAAGAGGTAAACAGGAAGTTCAAGAAATCAGAAACATCTAGACTACCAAGAACAGAAGAATCACGTTTTTTCTTAAAGAGCTCATGACATGATATCAAATACAACATACCCATCGTTCAGTTTAGCTGTGAGTGCATTTGCAATGGCAAATGGGAGATACAACAATGACTGCACAGAATAATAAATATTGAAGTCAGTCATCAATCCGGTCTTCAATTATAAAAAAAAAAACCAGCAGAAGTTGTTGATATTAACCAATTCTGAGAAATATGATGCTGCTATTACAGCGTTTCCAGAAATACACTCAACAGACTGTAAATTTCCAGCAGTTTTGGGATTGTTACATACCATGCACATTCCAGTTTTCAAACCCTTTGGCTCATCACACAAGTGCGCAAGAATCAATCTTCCCTGCCAAAACAGAGCTTTCCTTTCAACAACAATGGTAGAATAAACAATTTGGTTGTCTACAAGACCCCTTAGAACGACATTGGAAATCTAGCACTCACAGCACCGATAGTAAGCAATTACATTCGAGATGGACAAACCACACTTTCAAAAGATACGGTTATAAAGAAACATGGATATGTTACCACAAGGTACCCAAAAGCAAGCCCACTTCCCACAACGACTAAATGTGGATAGTTCCCCATAATGTCAGCTGGTGACAAGTAACCCCTGCAAATAAATTATTAAACTTTGAAACCATTTTTTAAAAGAAATCAAAGATAGCAATAAGTTTAAGGAAAAAAACAGGGGTGGACGCAAAGTATAAAGACATACCATGCCAAAACTCCAACCAAAAGGACTACAAAAGGGTAAATCTGAGAAGAAACAACATGAAACACCCATTAGGCCAATCCAGTGTCTAGAACTAGCATAAAATCCGAAAGATAAAAGCAATACCATTGCCAGTGCCAAAAGCATACTTGCTTTCCTTGCTTGAACAATCTTATGAACATTGGACACACTGCACACAAGCATAATCCAACATAAGGTCCAAGTGTCTAATGGCCTTCAAAGGACTCTTCTTAAGTTTTATACATGAGCTCTGAGCCTCTGACACATGAATAGTTTGGGGAAGTGGTAAACTATACCAAGGCACTCACCAAAAAAAAAAAAAAAAAAAAATCATGTGAATATTAACACCAGATTGCTGTTATATCTATAGAAAATGGTAATATTAATTCAATCCCATACCCCAAGGAATTCTAGGTTAGTAAGATCATGAAGATAGCAACATAATAGTTCTGAGTTCATGCCCACAACGTGTGGTTAGCAATGCAACCCTGCTTCTGTAGCTTGAGTCTTCACATATATGCCAACAGTAGTATGGATAACAATTTACAGGTTCCATATAGAACCATTAGAAAAATTACAATTGAGTTGAAAAATTCATGATACATGTATTAAGAGCTCAGGAATAAGTTATAAAAGAAAAAACAGAAAGAATTATTATACATGAGAAAGTTAGACTCAAATTTCGAAAAATTAGGGAACAGAAAATTTCATACTTGAATGTGAGCGTTGGGATGACAGCAAAAGCTATCATTAGATACAACACAGCTTTGTTTGTTGGGATTTCTGAAGTAAAAAAAAAAAAAAAAGGAACTAAATTTCGGACCAACTGCAAGGGAAGTAGTATATGTTGTGAAGCAGCCAAAGAAATATTCATCCACAACAAATATAAAAAAAGGTAATCAAACCGTGTACATGTCAAAGAGACATTGAGCTCTATATAGATAGGTACTGCAAATTAAATACAGAAATATAGCATGCAGTCAAGTCTTGCAAAATGTAGTGTTTGATGCCAAATATCACTTGTACGGTATCAACTAAATTAGGATCGGCCTTACCACTAAGAATGGGGACCCAACTCAGAAAAGGCAAAGACTTTCCAAATTGTAGAGCCCACCACTCAGAACCTGAAAATGTAAAGAAATAAATGTACTTAGAGAAAAGAAGAGTTTTTAGATATTGGTTTAGAAGTTAACTTCAAGCTGTACATACAAGTAGAGTAGCAGAATGAAATTAGGAGTTTACCAACGATAGCTGTGAAAAAATGGGCCAAATATATCAGCATTAGACCCTCCGTGGGCCCATTAACAGCAGGAAGGATTAGGGTATTGGTAAAGTAACTGGATCAACAAAGTCATAGATCAGAACATTCTATTTTTACATGTGAAATATTCTATGCAGGGTCATGGAGTGAACAAACTTATATGCTAGCATATCGAATCAACCCACTCCCCCACTCCTTTCCCCAAGAAAAAAAAAAAAAGAGGTGGTATATTCCCGAATGACTAATAACAAAATCAAACTCAGTTGGACAACTTACAACTCCCAAGTAGCAAAGTAAAATGGAACAGCTGAAATCACCCAGAACCAGAAAGTAGATCTTCCAAACATTGCAGTACTTCCAAAGGCCAATGCTTCGAACTAAACAAGCACATATAAAATATGAAAAAGAAACTTGAATTCTAGGGTACCAAATGACCAGAAAAGACGAAGACACATACTGCACACGCAAGGGCATCACAACCTGCAATTCATTGAGATCCGCCAGAATATAAATCATCAATATTCAATTGTGAATGTACCAAGGCAATAGAAGAAAAAAAAAAACATGATAGCAGTGCATTACCATGGTCGAAAAGTTCCCCCAGTGGACTCGAGGAATTTGTCCGTCTTGCTTGTTTCCCATCAACGGCATCAAAGGTCTAAGATTTTTTTGTGAAAAACAGGAAAGTGATAGAAAATGAGACAACGAAGATAGAAATAAAACAGCAATGTGTAACAATAAATAGGACACCACAGAAAAATCAAAGGCAACTCTGCTTGGATGTATTTAAGCAAACCTGGTATAAGAAAAGTAGCAATCCATGAGCGAAATTAACCCATCTAGGAGGAGCTGAATCCAGTCGTGGTGAATATATCTGGGAAAAACACATAACACAAATTCACGGGAAGCTTACTAAGTAATAACATTCCCATTTTAAGCATCATGCACACCATAACCAGAGTAAAGGATAAATGTGAACATTTCTAAAACTAAATGTGAAGCTTGAGTTAAAATATTAGCATTATAAACAGGAAAACCTAACAGCAGAAAATTAAAAGATGATAAGAAAAAACCACTCACATAGCCAAGCAGAGCGGATGTGAGCAAGAACATGAATCCTATTAGAGTTATCTGGCAAAAAAATAAAGCATAATCATCAATAGAAAGGCAACAGTTTCAAAAAACAATTAAGCATAGTTGGGAGTAAAGGTCACTCTACCATGTTGGGCCTGAAGAAAAAGTCAGAAACTGGAAGAGTGGGAAGAAACCAGGGAAAAAAGGAAAACGTTAGCAACGTTAGCAACATCAGCAAAAAGCACAAACATGTGATGTTAAAAATCACAATCAGTGAAGGAGAGATTATCTAGTCTCAGAAAAAAAATGCTATAAATTTTCATTCTTGTAAGTCCGCATTATCAACTACAAGAAATATTCCATCTTCTAAGCAAAACATAGAAGCATATTGCTGGGTTTGTAAATTTACATGAAGTCAGCTAAAGATCTCGAACTCGACATGCAAACTACTACAAATGTTTGCTTGTCCATTTCAAAGTATTCTTAAAATAAATGTATCAAACGTAGACTAGTGAATAACATAAATCCATGATAAACCCAGCAGAAACTACAAAAACAGAAAACTTATGCACCTAAATTTGAGAACAAAACATGAGCGCTTATAACACCAGAAAACTCATGACCTTACCCACCAATTAAAGCCAAAGAGAAGAGTATATAAAGTTAACTTAAGTCAATCAGTAATCAATAAAATCAGAGAAGAAGGTTAAGAAACTTACGGCATCCAAAGGGGAAAGATTTTAACGAAGCTACTCCAAAAGGGTTGCAAGACATATTTGGCAGTGTAAGAGTGATCCACGCCACTGTACTTGTATTTATGCAAAGCAGCCACACCATGTGCCCCAATATACCCCATCTCTTCCAAATCAAGCTTCGATTTTTCACTTCGAAACAAAATTGCAAATAGGCCTCAGTACAACCAACCTGCTACCAAAACGAACTGAAATAACTCAATCCACGCATCTGAACAAACCCATCACTGAATACAATCATACATGCTTGTAAACTTGCCAGCCAAGACAATTGGATCAACACGAAAATCCAAGTTCAAATTTTTGTGATTCAACACATTAATCATCTCATCTGGGTAATGCCCAGAATGCAATAAACATACCATATTTGCCTAAAATTATATAATTTATACTTTTAGCAATTAGAAACTATAAATTAGAAAGAAAAAAAAAATGGAAAAATCTGGTAAATTACTGTTTACTTTACAAAATCATCATCATCATGAACAAATTTAACCCTATAATTACAGGCTTAATTCAACATATAATTATATGCGAAAAAAGCAACAAATTCAAACAACATATTCTAGACATCAAAACATAATTTAATGTAAAAAGCAACAAATTCAGAGAAAAAAAATGATTTCACTCACAAATATGCGAAATTGTTAGGCACTCTTCAGAGGACCAGGTGATGGCTATCAACCTTCGCGGAAACCTTAAGATTCGGGAATCGACACCGAAATTGAACGAGCCGGCGGACGGCGAGGTAATTGAGATCTCAAATCGATTTGGTACTGGATTGGAACGAAAACCCTAGGGATTTTGATTGCTGCTTTGCTTAATTGGCCGTTTTGTTTTTCTGAAAACCAGAGAGGTGTGGGGCTTATTTATAGGTGACGTGAGAGGGCTTCGACGATTTGCCCACTGCGTGATAGTTTAATTTTTATTGAACGGATCATAAGGCGGTGCGAATCTGTAACGTCGGCAGTGACCGAGTGGCTCCAACGCCAATCGTCGTCTGAGCGTGGAGGTGTGGTAGGGTCGGATTAGTGATGAGCTGTTTCTTCTCGCCCCGTTTATTTCTTCAATACTTTCCGCTCCTTTTTTCTGCTCCTTCTTCCCTCCCTGTCTCATATTTGAACGATGATAATTAAGTTACGTCAACATCTCATCAGACCACCCAACTCTCTCTCGCACGCACACGCGCCAACGCCATCTCCGTCAAATCCAAGTACCACCACATTTTTCTTCACCCAACAATTCTAATCCCCAAAATGCCCATGTATTTCAAGGAATCGGTTCTCTCGTCTCTCTCTGAAGCGTTTATGCCCTTCAGCATATTCCCTGTTTCTTTTCAGAACAGAACGCAACACAGCAAGAGCTCCTTTAATTTCTCTTTCTCTCTCTCTCTCTCTCTCTCTCTCTCTCTCCCAGAGGAAAAACAGGTGATTTTATTTTCGTATTATCCTTTTCTTCGGTAAATTTTGATGATGTGAGTTAATTTCTGAGCTAATTATCCCTGTTTTTGTGATTTATTTTCGTGTTATCCTTTTCTTGGGTAAATTTGAATTATTTATTTTGGAATGGTGGGATCCATTTGAGTTGGTGAGTTAATTTCTGAGCTAATTATCTCTGTTTTTGTGATTTATTTTAGTTTCTGGACAATGGGTATTGGTGTTTTCTGCTATTTCGGTGTGTTTTGGTATTGGGAACCACCATTCTTGGTGGTTAGTTTGTTCTTCACATTGCTCTTCTTACCATTCCAGTATTGTTAGTTTCGTATCTCATTTTTCTTATCGGAAGTCCTTTTTCTGGTGGTGGGCATGGTTTGGTTTGATTGGTACTGCTCAAATTCATGTGATTCTTCTTTTATTTGGGTTTTGAAAATTATAACTTGATTCGTAGATTTGTAGCGACTCATTGTTGTGATGAAGTTTGAATTTTGAATTTTTGAGTGGATTGGGTGTTAAAGTTTGAATTTTGAATCGATTGAGTGATTCGGGGATTTGTTTCGAAAATTTCATCTTTCGATTTGTCATCGGACTATTGGCCAACTGATGAGGAGAAGTGGGTAGACGAACAAATCTTGTATGGATGGATTATATTCTGTACTGAAAGTAGACGAGCAATGTGGTCCATGTAAGAGCTGATATAGTGATCTTACCATTAATTGCCAATATGTGAAAAAAAAGCATCTACATAATTTGGGGTAGAATTTTACTTTAATTTCTAGCATTTTTAGGATGGAATTGGCAGTCATTCAGGGTGTAGCTGTACGGCATAGGTAATATATCCTTTTGGAAATCCATGCAATTTGTTTAATTGTTAAAGTTGTTTCAAATTTGTTTCAGTTGGTCAGCGTGAAGGGTATATTGTACTGTCAGAGTAACTTCGAATACAGTCTCTCACGTCACTTGTCTACTGAATGTCTCCGTTAGAGGAGGAACGGTGATTGGGGTCTGTGAGGGGATTGTGTTCAGCACAAGGATGCCGATGATGGCATAGCTACTTGGCTATCTAGATATTGGATTGGAAATCAAGTGGAACATGGATTAGACGACACCAACTTCAACAAGAGCCTCCAGGGTTTGTTGGTCATGAACTGACATGCTACTTGTCTGCCACTGCATTCAGCCTTGCTTTTTATACTAATGGAAGCCTCACCTCAAGGACAAAAGGCTCCTCGCAAATTTCTGTCGACTGGAACCCAGAAAGATCTTTGCTTTGTTGTGCGAGAAGGATCATTGGCTGATGTGGATTCAGCACTAGGTTTACTGAAGAAGAGTGGTGGTGATATAAATTCAAGAAACATTTTTGGTCTCACTCCTCTTCATATTGCAACATGGAGAAACCACATTCCCATTGTTAGGAGGCTTCTTGCAGCTGGCGCTGACCCAGATATTAGGGTTTGTTACTTTACCGATCTTTATGTGACATGAATGCTTTTATGTTGTTGATAGTGGCTATTAAGTTGTTTGTTTTATATGCTTGAGATTTATTTATAGGAAAATTAATGAAAAGGGCTCGAAAACTTTGAGTTTTAATGGTAAGGACAAAATAAAGGGTAAAGTGAATAGTACCCGGATTGACTTTTTAGGGGGCATTTGTTGCGCCGGACTATCTCGGACTGGATTAGCTTCAAGGACTAAGCTGGACTGGCTTAGACTAGACTAAACTGGACTAACTTAGTGAAGCGTTTGGTGCATTATTGGACTAAGAAGCTGGATAATAACAAATTCTAATATTATTTTATTTAATATATAAATTATTAATATTTTATTATGATTTTATCTTTTTCTCCATCTTTTCCTACCATTTCCGTCCCACTCTTTTCCTCTTCTCTCATCGTCCCACCCTCTCCCTCTTTTTTTCCTCTCAGACCTCTCAATTCATGTCTCTTTCTCATTCCTGGTCAAACTCCTTATTGACTACAATCTCTATTTCTCTGTCCTCCCTCCCTCTCTAGCTATGCGTTGTTCGAATGGAATCTCACGGCTCCAATTTTCCCGACGAGTTGTAGGTTTCCCGATGTGTTTTTTGGCCAACCCTCATTAAATTGGATGAAGTTAGCACCGCCAAAAAATTCATCACCATCCCTGGACCGAGATCTTAGCTTTGCATGCTCGAATCTGTCATGGATTTGAAGAAGCCCAAACAGGCCGAGACTTCCAGGCCATTTTTCGGCCACATTCGACCACATTTTGGCCTCAATTCAAGTAAAATCGTAATCTTGTCACTCCCAGCTTCAATTTGGTATATTTTATATGAAAGTCGGAAAGTTAATGATTGATCTAGGTGAGGTGTAAAAATATGGTTTTTCGTTAAAGTGAACAGTACCGCAGGCTTTTCGTTAAAACTCCCTTTATTTATTTCTTATTGCCAATCGTGTTTTTGAGTTGCTGTCTATTGTGACTTCCATAAAATTCAGTTAATCATACCTGCAGTTAAATAAATGTTCTAGGAAATAACAAATTATTAGAGACATAAAGCAACCGGAGGTCAAGGATATAATCTAACTGCTATGATATCATCCCATGATATGATATCATTTGTTTCACTTAATTTCCATGTTGAGTTTCTAGTAAATTGCAAATCTAAGTTTTTACCATGTACAAAAATGGTAAATAAAAGAATTACCCAATTTTTAGATAACTACAATTTAAAACTGTTTGGCCATGAATTTTTACAAATAGGCCTCATTTGCAAAGAATGTGACAATTTTGTGATTTTATGGTTTTTTTAATGCTTTTACTTTCTGAAGGCTATAATTTCCAATTATTTCAAACACTTTGATCAGGAAAGTAAGATTCATTCATATAACAATGAATTGATATTTTGAGTGATACTTTTGTGTTTTGGTTGGGTTTCATTTTTAATTTTCATTTAATATCGAAACTGGTATTTATGATTTCTCTTTGCATGGCCCTTCGTATCCTTTATTGCAGGATGGGGAATCTGGATGGAGTAGCCTTCACAGAGCTCTCCATTTTGGTCATCTTGCAGTGGCAAGTATACTTCTCCAGTCTGGTGCTTCTATCATACTAGAGGATTCTAAATCTCGAACACCTATCGATCTCCTCTCTGGGCCTGTCTTGCAAGCTCTTCAAAATGGACACAACTCTGGTATCTACCGCTGTGTTTCGCCAAGGTTTCTGAGGATCATAATATATTTTTTCAGACTGATCTTACTTGTGCTTAGAGATTAGCTGATTCCTGTTGTTGTCTTCAGTTACGACGGAGGTTTATAGTTGGGGAAGTGGTACAAACTATCAACTTGGAACTGGAAATGCACACATACAAAAGTTGCCATGCAAGGTTGATGTTCTTCGTTGTTCTTTAATCAAGTTGGTTTCTGCTGCTAAGTTCCATAGTGTGGCAGTCACTTCTCGAGGAGAAGTCTACACTTGGGGTTTGGAAGAGGAGGACGACTTGGTCACCCTGATTTTGACATACACAGGTACGGACATTTACCATACTATAAGTTTATAACCTTGGTTGATTCAGCATTTCCACATACTGTGTAAAATTAGGTACTGAACAGTTCTTAATGTGTGAATTGTTTGGACAAATTAAATTCATTAACATAAGCAAATTTAAGTGTGTAATACTCGTAACATTATATATCCATGTATGGGTACACTATTATGCTTGTCCTTATGTATGAATGTAGTTTCTAAGTTGAAGGAACTTTTCATCTTGAACTTGTAAAAAGATGAGATGCAAGGGAAAAAGGCAGTATGTTTCTGAAGGTTTATTCACTGTATGAAGTAGAAGTCAAGTTTTGTCCCCTTTCACTAAAAAAATGTGGCTAATCAGTTGAAATCTGCATGCTTTACCTAGTTATACTTTTTAGCGAATCACCAGTCAAATCCATTTTATTATATGCATTTCAGCGGTCAAGCTGCAGTTATCACACCGCGTCACGTGACATTTGGTATAGGGTCCCGTCGGGTGAAGGCAATTGCGGCAGCTAAACATCACACCGTTATTGCTACGGAGGGTAGGGAAGTGTTCACCTGGGGGTCCAATAGAGGTAAATCATATGGGGATTTAAACTGCCAACTAAAAGGGTTTGCAACTTTCAAATTACTTACTGATCATAATAAAAGAAACACAAATTTTGTATTCTTTAGTCAATGGCTACATTCACAATTCAACTTGTAAGAAAATTGTTTTGTTTCCTTTAATGTATTCGGGCATTAATAAATGGCTCATCTGTGATCAATTTATTGCTGAGATTGACGACCATAGAAAATTGATTCATTCACGTGATGTTATGCAGAGGGTCAGCTTGGCTACACTTCCGTGGATACCCAACCTACACCTCGTAGAGTGAGTTCCCTTAGGTCAAAAGTTGTTGCAGTTGCTGCCGCCAACAAGCACACTGCTGTTGTTTCAAACGGTGGTGAAGTTTTCACATGGGGGTGCAATAGGGAGGGTCAGCTTGGCTATGGTACATCTAACTCTGCTTCAAACTACACTCCAAGATTAGTTGAATCCTTGAAAGGCAAGGTTTTTAAGGGGGTTGCAGCAGCAAAATATCACACAATTGTTTTGGGAGTTGATGGGGAGGTAAATTTAACCTGATTGAAAATTGCATTTTCTTCTCAAACGTTAGAACTATCTCTGGTATTCAGTTCCGATACATTTAGATACTAGGCTTTTATCTGGGATCTTGTGAAAACTTTCCTCCATCTGCTTTATTTGAGCCTAATCCTGTATGTATTTATGTGCCAGGTATACACTTGGGGTCATCGAATTGTTACGCCAAAACGTGTTGTGATTGCTAGAAACTTGAAAAAGAGTGGAACTGCCACTTTGAAGTTTCATCGCAAAGAACGGCTTCATGTGGTCTCTATAGCTGCAGGGATGGTACATAGCACAGCCCTGACAGATGATGGCGCATTATTTTATTGGGTGTCATCAGATCCGGACTTCAGATGCCAGCAGGTTTTACTTTAGTAAACTAGTGATGTTGTCGATTGTCTTATCCTTTGGGCGATGCATGTCAAAGCACTAATCTCCTCTGTGTTCTTTTGTTTGTTTGTATAGCTGTATTCATTGGGTGGAAGAAGTATGGTGAACATATCTGCAGGGAAATACTGGACTGCCGCAGTTACAGCTACAGGTGATGTTTACATGTGGGATGGGAAGAATGGTAAGGATAAGCCACCAGTTGTGACTCGGTTACATGGTACGAAGCGGGCTACTTCAGTTTCTGTAGGCGAAACACACTTGTTGATTATTGGCTCCCTTTATCACCCTGCCTACACTTCCAATAACCCTCTGAAGCAGAAGTCAAATGCCAAAGATGAGCTAGAAGAGCTTGATGAAGATCTTATGTTCAATGACATGGAGTCTGACAATGTTTTACCTACTATCCAAAATGATGATGCTGGGAAGAAGCCCATACCGAGCTTGAAAAGTCTTTGTGAAAAAGTGGCTGCAGAGAATCTAGTGGAGCCACGAAATACTATTCAACTGCTCGAAATTGCCGATTCACTCGTGGCAGATGATTTGCGGAAGTACTGTGAGGTATTCTTTGACTGCTCAATATTTGAAGGAAAAGTTATTTAACTTTTAATCTGTCTCAAATTGTACCTGATTTGAATCTCTCTCCCTCCTTCTGTCCGTGTGTGTGGTTGGATGGGCGTATCACTGATGGCTGAAATTATCAGATAGGTCTTTGTATTTTCCTAAAATTTGTCCAAAAAACATTTGATATTTGAGCTGCGCCATTGCCTTATGCTTCTGGTTTTGCAACTTGTGATGCAAAGCTTTCTATTTTACATGTTATATTAATTGATTTTAATTATTGGGGCTGTTCTTTTTTTAACTGCAGGAGATTGCCATACGCAACCTTGACTATATTTTTACGGTATCATCACAAGCTATTGCTAGTGCTTCACCAGATGTTCTAGCTAACCTTGAAAACGTATTGGACCTAAGGTCATCTGAACCATGGAGTTACCGTTGTTTCCCAACTCCTACAGCTACTTTTCCTGCTATTATTTATAGTGAAGAGGAAGATAGTAACGGTGAGGTTCAAAGGACGCGTGATGGCCATACAGAGCAATCCATCTGGAAAAATGAAATCCACCAAAGAGCAGATTCCTTTCTTCAACCCAAAGATGATCCAAATCATGGTATTGAAAAGCAAGTTCGAGCCTTGCGGAAAAAGCTGCAGCAGATTGAGATGCTTGAAGCAAAACAGTCTAGGGGGCAAGTTCTTGATGACCAGCAAATTGCAAAGCTCCAAACGAGGTCAGCTCTAGAGAGCTCGCTGGCTGAGCTTGGTGTTCCAGTTGAGACACCACAGTTGAAGATGCCATCCTCAGTTTTGCTAGATGGAAAAGGGAACAAAAAGGTTGAGCCATCAAAAAAACAGAAGAAAAGGAACAAAAAGATGGCATCACAAGTGGATATAGGGTTGTGTTTTTCGGGAAATGAATTAGAAATAAACCATGCAATTGGTTTCTTGAATACTGAAACCTCTCAAACCTCAAAGGATAAGGTGAGCTTGTGAATTTTTTGAATTAATTTTCTTATCAAGATTGAGTAAATGATCGTTATCGACTACAAATCTATTGTCAGTTCATGTTAAGCTGATTTTGTTTTTCTTTTGTGACGTTTGAAACTTTAAATGGGCTTGGGAATCTTTTCAATAATAAGGATTTATGGGTTTAGCATGTGCATAATGAAGCATTATGTAGATAGAGGTATTGAATTTGACCTTCCCTTAATTACTTCCTATATCACTTCACCCCACCTAGATGGGAAAATGTATATATTAAACATCAAGGCGCACACACTAGCGCAATCATTTAGCTTGATCTTGCCATGCTATTTACTCACTATTATAACTTGCATTTCTTAATTTTCATCAGATTATTGCCTTCTTGCTAAACAAGGGCTTGATTTTTGTGACCCTTGCGTTTGTTTAAATATGTCATACGGCCTAGTGCGAACAGAAATTTTATATTATGTATGTCGAGCGATTCATCTCATTTTCTAAATTGTTTGAAATTTTACGTGTGATAGGAGGAGGATGCCATGATTGAAGGGATTGCGACAAGCCAAACCAATCAAGAGTCAGCTTTGTGTGTTAAGAAGGACAATTTAAACCTAACAAATAACAAGTGTTCATCACCAATAGTGTCCAAGAAGAAGAATAAAAAGGGTGGACTTTCTATGTTCTTGAGTGGCGCTCTTGATGATGCCCCCAAGTGTGTTGCACCCCCTCCACCTTCCCCAAAAAGTGAAGGCCCAGCATGGGGTGGGGCTAAATTTTCCAAAGGGTTTGCATCCCTTCGCGAGATTCAGGATGAGCAAAGCAAAACCAAGGAGAGTCGGTCAACTAGGAACAAAAGTCACCCGGAAGATCCTTTCGATGATACAAGTGATGGAAAGATTCGTCTGAGTTCATTTTTACCTTCCAAGCCGATACCATTGGTTTCAACCCATACTTCACTGGCATCTGATGGAGATAGAGGTACACCTCGTTGGACCGCTTCAGGAACTCCTCCCCTTGTTTCTCGCCCATCTCTGAGGGACATCCAAATGCAGCAGGTATATGATTTGCACCCTCTTTCTCGTATATTATGTGTGCCGGCATTTTATTATCTTTCTTGTGTGTTGGGAATTCTGTATTTTAACTTTGGGTTAAGTTCTTGTTACTGCATTGCGAGTGATGATGTTTTGACGGATTTAATTTACGGAACTCTTACCCGTCTTTTTATGTCTCAAAGCAGGGCAAGCAACACCAGAGTGCATCCCACAGTCCAAAGACAAAAACCGCCGGATTCTCAGTCACAAGTGGTCAGGGATCGCCACTGGATACTTGTGGAGTGAACCGCTGGTTCAAACCGGAGGTAGATCAACCGTCACCAATTCGGTCAATTCAGATCGAGGAAAAGGCTATGAAGGAGCTTAGGCGCTTCTACGACAGTGTTAAGATTGTCAAGAAGCCGATAGTAAATTAGGTAGAAATTTAGGATAACGTAGCAGCATTTGTTTTCTCCTCATCCTCCCTTTTATTCTCTTTTTGGACCATTTTTGCTCTATGAAGGATAACGATAAATGCAGAGGTGTCGGCATAATAAGAGACCGTGCAGGATGGATATCGTCATGATTCATGAGAGTCGAACATGAGACCCTACTTAATAATGAAGAATGAGAACATGCGGCCAATACTTACCAAATTGTACAGATTAAAAGTTTGTGATTTTTTTTTATTTTTTTGCCGAAGCCTGAGGTATTCCACACCTCGAAGGATATGACTAATCTTCAGTGAGGTCCAAAACACAAAGTTTGGGATTTGAGTAATGTGTAAATGTATCATCGTATACTTTCCTTTTCTAATAAATGTATCGCCATGTCTCAACATAATATTTTCTTCAACTTTGTTCTACCCTTATTATGTTGACGTTAAGCTACATTATAGGTAGGGGCGGATTTTGTCAAATTACCGTGCCAATTGAATTACCAATCGTACCAAACCGATTTTGTGTCAAACTTTTTGTCCTAATTGGTAATGGCACAGTGATGTATCGAACTGAAGTTTTCTAATACGGTATTAGTATTCGATATCATTACCACGATATTACCGTACTGTACCGAAAAATATAAATCTATATTATTATATATTTAGTGTTTAGTACATGAAATATATATAAAATAATATATATATATATAGAGAGAGAGAGAGAGAGAGAGAGAGAGAGAGAGAGAAAGAGAGAGAGAGAGGAAATCTTTAAGAAGAGATCCTCATTTTTTTATAAAAATGGAAATTAATTGTGGAATCCACACTACATCAATCTTTAATAATCTGAACTATCTATATTTCAAGTTGCATCTCATATATCATTCTTGCAAAATATTAGCCAAATCGGAAATGTTTAAGACATCTAATTGGGTTCAAAGAAATTAACGAATACTTTGTTATATAAGAAACAATAAAATTTTATCTTGATAATTAAATAGGCAAATGGTTTCGGATTGAATTAAATTTTTGTAAGGATGATCTATGAATCGAGACTTACAAAATAGACGGTTCGGATCGTTAAAGTTCAATATGGAGGGAGCCTCATCTAATCCTTACTTTAAAATAAAAATGGGAATCCCTTTGCATAAAGGGCCTGTATATATGTGTGTGTATATCTATAATGAGCGTCAATTACATGAAATATGCTGGAATTTGTGTTGGTGTGCTGCTGTCTGTGCTTTTCCACTCTGTGCTTTGTTGCCCGCAGTATTTTACTGTCTGTGCTTGCTACCTGGTTGCTTCAAGTATGATTAAATCATCTGAAATGTATGAATTAGCTACAGAGTTATATAATTGTGCATGTAAAATATGAGATAAGGGCATAAGAATTGAAAAAAGTGGGCCTGAATTGGGTTGATGAAAAAAAAATTTAGATTTTGGCCCAAAAGAGTGGCCCTGAAACAAAGTAGTAATTATCATTACCATACCATGTCAACCGACTATTTAGCATACCAAACTTCGGTAGTACTCAAAGTTTGGCACGTTAATGGTAATCGATTTTGCAATACCATAAGTCTAGTATGGTAATTGATACGGGAGTTTTGGTACTGTAATCGTACCGAAACCACCCCTAATTATAGGGATGAAGATTTGTTCTACCCTTTATGTTGATGTTAAGCGACATTATAAGGATGAAGATTCAAATTTAGCTGCAAACAGAACATACCCTGTTATATTTAATTTGACTAAATTCAAGTCTGTACAATATTACGAATTTAGAAAGCTAACAACATTTCCAACTAAAAATAGCGGATGCAAGCAAACTCGCCATTAAAACATTTTTGTTCTACATTCTTAGCACTTTGGGACTTGAGATTTTAAAATCAGGGAGTCGTATTCATAATTTTAATGTTTGTCCGTTGGCAAAGCAAACCCGCCAACCATTTAGCCTTGGTTCTATTTCAACTTCAAGTAGTTTCTCTTAATACGTTGTCGCATTTGGGGTTAGAATTGGTTGCACCCTGAACCGAGGAAACATATCAATCCACTCTTGAGTACCCAAAACTCGGTATAATCTCACCTTGATGCCACCCCCATTTGTTGTGAACCACGTATATATATTCCCTGAGAAATTCAGATCATTGAACTGACATTGCTCTATGGAGACCCTCCATTTGCCTTTGACGCCGAATATTATCCCTCATGCTCGTTGTCACATAGGGAATCCAGCAATTGCCAGGACTTATAACGGTCGCATGTTGCTGGAAAACCATAAAAGTCAGTCAGTCGCCAATAATTCACATCCTCAGGAGCACCCACATCGAAATCGACATGGTTCTGTAAGACCGTAAGCTCAAATTAAGTTCCTCCTTCCATAATACACATAGACCTTTCGAGTCACCTCTACTATCAACTGTGAAACTTCGATCCTAATTCAACTTCAATCGCAGTCGTTCCATGGGACAAGCATTACTTTTGATATCACCATAATATAGATGTGAGATTAATAGTGGTAATGATGATGTGAGGTGAAATCAAATTAAATTGATCTTAATGGATACAAATCAAATTAAATTGATCTTAATGGATACCCATTAACAATCCAATGGATTGATTTGCCAAATCTACCCTATATATCATTTCTTTCACTAACCCTAATGAAACCAAATACATGATCCTCATGCACCCGGCAGGAGGTCGGGTGATGAAAGGATAATACTTAGGTACTCACTTACTATTTTTTTTTTTTTAACAATAATATTATTTACACTAAGGGGATAATGTGGGCTTAGACTCACAATTAGTTAGCAATAATGTGGTTCAAATTCGCCTTTGGTGAGAATCAAATCTAAGACCTTTCACTTACACGTGAAAATGAACATCTCTAGATCGTAGTATTAAGTGGCAGGTACTCACTTACTTTATAAACTCACCTTTTTATTTAGGTCTAATGATATTTTAACACATTTTATTGTTTTAAAGATAAGAAACATGTTAACTAATTTTTCTTGAACTTTAAAAACAAGAAACATGTGACATATTTTTATTGAGCTAAATCAAAAATAAGTATATAAGGTACTCATATTTAGGAGGTTGATGGGGTACCAACTCATGGATGGGTGGGGCGACTTCCCCTATTATCCGTAACGCAAACACATTCGCCAACAAAGCAACTCTTCAATTTGCCTGGTTTACAATCAATCTTGTACTCGCAATCCCTGTAATGTCTGCATTGGGGCTCGCCTTCTTCTACCTGCCACGGCTGACTTGGGAATGCAAATGCATTTGCCATCACGGTAAAGTTTGAGGCCACCCAGATTACATTTAATTAGAAAGTCGCAATCAACATCACGATTGCATACTTTTGCGCTGGCTTCTTCTACTAGCGCTGCAGCTCCCACTTCTGCAGTTGATCATGACAACATCGATTCGCCTGAAAAATATACATAATACATTGATCATGCAAACGTTAGTTGATTAAAATATGTAAAGATTAATATGGAACTAATCTTGTACATGTAATTTCAGCAATGTGAGAGAGACTGACAGATTGCAATACTGCAAAAGGTGGCAAAACCCATTTTGAAAGAAGAAACCATTGTTTTGTTATGTGATGAGGATGGAGGATGAAGAGCTCCTCAGTTGGCTTCCTCAATATTTATACTGGGTGATTTGACTCCATTAATTTGTGGATAGAAAAATAAAAATGGAAGACAAAATAAAATTTTAAATCTGATATGGATTTTGCTACCTACCCATTTTTGGACCTGACATTTATAATTAATATAGATTACAACTACTAAATTTGACCATATTTTATGGCAAAACACACCTATTTTTTGTGGATTAGTTACCAAGTAAAATCTCATTTCCTTTGTGTAATATAACTTGCAAATCATGTTTGAGTGAGTTCTCTCAAAATCTTAAAATTCACATGAGATTTGTTAAATCACTATGAAAGCTCTTCAAATTCACCAAAATTTTTCATTTTTTAGAAATTCTTTTAAATTCAAATCCTAATTGAATAGGCTTGTCATGTACTCTTTTAAAATTCTAAATGAACACATCCGAATTTATAAAATTTTAAGCTGAATTTTCAATAAATAATTTGAAAATTTAATTGAATACCTCTAAGGAGAAGAATTTATTCAAAACAGTAAATTACAAACATAGGCCAACACACAAAATAAGACCAGAAATACATTTGGACCTCACAGCTAATTAAGAGAAGCTCAACTAAGAGCTCAACACTACAGACAGAACAAAAGAAGCTTCTCAACCCCAGCATCCACCGCCGTAGTAGTGTTTTAAACACCTGAGCAGATGTGCCCACCGGAGCTTTACGCACCCTCTCAAATGGTCACAACAAATTGCGATGAAAACTGACTGCAGATCGAATTGAAAGTGGTTGGGGAAGACGGACGTCCAATCGGTGGGAAAGACTCTCAGGAAGAGAGATATCCTCTCACACGGAGAGAAAAAGTTCCGATACGTGATCACTTTTACCAAGGTGTGTTTTGGTGAAAATCTGTCGGGACTATGAAAAAAATTGACCTATTGAACTTTATATGAACTTATTTTCTTCAACACGTACCACAATTCCTCATGCCATAAAGAACCAGTGTATCCTAAAACCAATCTAGATGAAAATAAACGGACGAACAAACAAAATATAACTATGAACATATTTTATCAAATGAGATTGCCGAAATGGTTACATACCTCGAAAATGACTACAATGTGAATGAATTGTTATTCATACTAAATTATAAGCTATTTATAAGAACAAAACCTAGAAACCTATTTCTAATAGGCTAGCTCATACACTAAACTAACAAGCAAACTCAAATAATCATAAGTGATCCAACCATATGTTCCCTTGATGGATGCTCTTGTTGCAGCAATTGGCTTCCAGGAACCGAAGGCCAAGGCGTAACTGAAATGTTTTATTTGGTTCAAAAATGTGTCCAGCAATTGGCTTCACGGGCAAGCATTCTCGAACTTGGTTCAAAACCGTTGATCAGCCGCCGATGACTGTAGGAGACTGCACATTATCACCCATTCTCTCCTTTGAATATGGCCTGGCTACAACGCCCACCAATTCCAACTAGGAACCATTTAGCTTCTCATCGTCAGTAATTTGTTGACGTCAGCTACTCTTGAATAATTGATGGAACTCATTTAGCTAATCTTCAATAAGTATGTAATTAGGTAAATATTAGAGAAAACTACACGTTAACCCCCGCTGCATATTAGGGGCCGTTTCTCTTTGGTTCTGCCAGCATAATAATTCAGTACAAATGACTCAGAGGAACTTGATGATGAATACTGGCCCAATGACGGATGGGACTAAAGCATGCGGAAGCGTGGTGGATAGTGGCAAGACAAGACGTGAGAAATTGTAGAATAGTATTTGGTGTGAGGTAAAGCAAGGAATCGTACCTAAAATAGTATTTGATGTAAAGTATTGTATTGTTGATTGTGTTGTAAATGAGGTTTTTCCTTATCATATGCAAGTAATGGATAAAAGAGGAAGATGTTTCCCGACGCCTGATTGTTTTAGGAGAGGTTCGGGAGAGTTCCTCCCAAGCCTATAAATATGTGCGTATGTAGCCTGTGTAATACTCAGACTTGGCTGAGACTTGGATAAAGACTAACTGTTTGTACAAGCTTCCCTTGAGTGTACGTTCTTGTTCGAGTCATCCTAAAGAGTAGGGATCCTAGTCACTAGTTTGAGGAGCTATACAACCACAGTAACTAAAATCGTACCAACGGACGAAGTATCTGCAGTTAGAAACACAGGATAGGTACGCAATAGGTCCGAACAAATCCTCTAAGAGGCACATCACTACAGACAGTGTATTTTCTTCGATGGCGATTTCAGTAATGTCGTCACTCCTTGCGTCCTTCATCACACTCACTCACTGGTATATAATCTGGAGTTCTGGACTTGTCCCTCAAGCATCTAAAGATTCCTCCCTCCCTTTCCTCCTATAAAAAATACGAATGCCGGAAAACAGGAAGAAGAGACTTGTTCTGCCGGTGATCTGTACCAGTCCATATTAAATAAGCTAGATAAATTTGCTATTATAAATTGTTGATATTTGATTAATGGTTGTTCATGTAATGTAATGAGGCATGAGGATTTGTACCGAGCTCCGCAATTTTGATTGACCAAAAAAAAAATTAACAAAAATATCTCTGTGACGGTACTGTTTTATAACCAGTAACATGAGACATTCAAGAAGAAAAAAATTAGTTTTCTTTTATGTATATTAAAGAATATAGTAAGAGTGTTTCAATTAATAGTGTTACATGCAGGCATTATCATAGGAGAACAAAAAAGTGCCAGAATGATTTCCCACGAGTTGCTTGAGTCCCAGAGGTGTCAGTTGTAGTCCCCTATACTTATGAGTTACAAATTACCAGAGGTGCTAATTTAAGCACCATTGTTACTACTCCACGGTTTTAACACAGCCACCGCGATGATTGCAACGATGATAAGAAGGATGAGGATCGCAATGCACATCCATTTCCTCGAACTCTTTTGTAGCTTCTTGGCCTTCTGAAGAGCATTGTTCCCTTGCTGTACATGATCTACCGCACTCGATACCTGCAGAATAAAAACACAAAATACGTGATCGTCATATCTGATACAGAAGTGGCAAAGTGTGATACAAGATTGACATTCCACGTCACGTTTTTTCCAAATCAAGTTCTTTTTTCTTTTGGGCTTAAAACGCCAAGAAATTCATGGGATCATTGCGCTTTCAGATTGTAGTATTTACATGGGTTTCTATGTTGTTAAGCAAGTCCCCTTGTGCATCGACCAGCACCGCCATATCCAGAAAGATCTGTGCATAAGAGAGAGAGTTATCATATACTCATGGCGAAACACAAACAGAAAGTTTTCCTTTAGTTTTGCAGCAATTCTCCCGGTTGGCCTCAAGGAATCGTGGCATTAAAATAAGACAATAACTTGGTTTTCTTATGAGCTACATGACTAACACATACTTAACATGTCATGACACAACTTAATGATCTAACCGATCACTCACTTTCTTACAGAATTCAAGCAGCAACATTCAACAGATTAATGTTATTATATTCAATATGGCAAATACCAAATTGTAAAGTGAATTCTAAAAAGTAAGGCCTATGCTAGACATCTGTATTGTATAGCAACTTCATGTCTTCGTCAGAGAGTATGCATCATAAACTAAGAATATACCTGTTGTAAATCGAGAAGCTTCCTCTCAAGATCTCTAACAGCATCATGTCGCTCTTGAATTTCGGCCAGAGTGTCCATTATCTACAATTTGATACACAATTTTGGATGTTATCAATCTTAATCAGAAAATTCAATGTTTCAACAACCCAAGCTTGAAGAATTAGGAGCTTAAAATTAATTGTTCAAGATGTAAAAAAATGTGTCAAGTTTGTGAGAGAATGCACAATTTCGATAGTAAAAAGTGCTTATATGGGGGCGGAGAATAAAAAAGGAAATTTGACAAACCTGGCCTCGCCCTTGTTCTTGGATTGCCTTCTGGAAAATTTGTTCACTGTCTCCTGTCTCGATTAACCTTTCAATTGTCTGTACAATGTTAAATAATTAGAAAATGAGCTTTCTGGTATAGATATATCGTAATTTCAACAGTGCAATAAGTTTTACCTCTTCATCAGCTCTTGCGCCCGTCACTGACATTCACAAAATGCAAGAGAAATAAACTATAAAATCAGATCATGGAAATTCAAGTAGAAGCTCCAGAAATAGCAACCACTGATGAGTGGCAAGTGAGGGGTTCAAACCTGTAAAAACTCGCCTCTCGACAACATCACGGTACTCTTGATGGATGGTGTCCCTTAGAGTCTGCATGTCTTAAGTTCAAAATTTAGAGATGAAAGAAACAAAAATTATGAGATTAAAAATAAAATGCATGTGTGGGTGTGTATGACCTACCTGAAATTCAGCCATCTTGTCCTTTAATTTCTTTTTCAAGGCACTGCAACAGTAGATAACAGTGGACACTTGACAATGTTAGATTCAGCTGAGTTGACAATTAATAAAAGATTTCTCCAACAAGCATGTGTGGGTGAAAAATCTTTGGTGATACCACAACTTAGTAGATACCAAAAGGAAATGAGGGGAAATAGGCAGAAGGCATCTTGAAGGCAATTGTTGGAGTACGAACTTACAGGGTTGTTGCTGTTCGGGATCTATCTACACCTGTTCCTTTTCCGCAACCAGCCTTCTGTCTATTTGCTAAATTCTGGACCCATACGGAAAGGTTAGTCAGACAAACAAAATTACTACCAACCACAGAAACAAACACAGCTTTCTGTTGAGTCAAAACTTACCTCTTTGTCGAGTTCTTCAATTTTTGACTTTATCCATCGAGCAACTTTTCCAACTTCGTCAACATCTTTCTCCATTCGTTGCTTGATTGCTGCACATGGTGAAAGAATCCATCATCTTTGTTGACTTAATGAGGGAAACGAAAAATTAAGTTGATAAATGCAAACAGAATATATATCACCAGTAAAGGGAGAACAGATTACAGGGATTATTTTTAGATGTACGAGATAACACGCTAGAATATTTTTTGACATCTCCTATCTTACATACATCTTGTTTTCTCCCTCCGTTTAAATCCATAATAGGCATCATTTTATAGAGCTACGAAAGAAACAAACATACATAACATAATAGAAAATACGAAAATAAGCATGAAAGATTCACTTGATTATTGAAATAATTAAACAAGTTTGAGATTACATTTCATTGAAGGAGCCTTAGTAACAGCCTTGGACTCTTCATGTGCATCCTGCATGAAAAAAAAAAAACATTAAAAAGTGATAAAAAAGTGCATCTTATATCTCAAAGAATCATTCCACCAACTGTAACGCGCTCCAATTTTTTAAGCTATTGTATAAGGCACAAAAAAGAGAACAATTTTTTTTTTTTTTCCAAATAACAGTTTATCAATGTTTAAATTAGTGGGATCAAACGCAGTAAATTTACCAATCTGGATGATGGACTATCGTGCAAATAAACAGAACTCAGTCCAGTTGCTATACAATTCTATGTTACCTACACTGCAGTATGACGTTTATGTGTTCTGTTTTGTTACAATTATACTTGTTCATGACCTTATAACTAAAATTCCCAATTTGATGAAGACGATAAGTAACTAGAAATGAACTAATGATATCAACACATATTGGCATCACGCTTGTAATTACAAAGACGACAACATTACCAACCAAAACGGAAGGACTCAAGTCTTTGAGCTTCTTGGATAAGAAAATTCACTCTCAATTAAGTTTAACGGCTGAATTCATTAGCGCAACACTGAATGAGACCAAGTTAAAGAGTAACCAATTCAAGCATTTCAGACAATAGCACCAACCAACGAGGAACTATGACAGCTGAGACAAACAAAAAACATTCATGGCGCTGACAAGAAAACATATTGGAAAGCATAATACCTGGAGCTTTTTCAAAAGTTTATCAAGCTTCTCATTTTGCTTCTCGATCTCTTGAACCTGGGGGCAAAAATCATGAAAGCATTAGACAGAATCAACAGAAAGTAAACATAACACAAATTCCATATACAGAATAATTATCTATGGAAAAAAGTAAAAGGAAAAAGAGTAACGGAAAAAGAAAATAATTGCGTTTCATGCATTTAAGGGATGTTGCACAAAAATAAGTAAAAGAAGTTAAAATACCTTTTTGAAAAAATTCTCCAAACCAAGTTCTCCAGAATTCATTGAAGCATGTGCTCCTAGTTCGATATCTCCATCTCTCAAAGCTTGACCCCGAGAGATCTCAAAAGAATCCTGCAAGCAGTAAATAGGTCATAAATGAACTCGAACAAAACCTTAATCCCGAATCTGATTGCTTGACTTCAATACGGTCTAGGAAAGAAAGATAAAAGGAAAGAAAAGGCACGATAACAATGACTTGAACTTACATAACCACATGACACTGCTAAATTTCTAAGAACACATTCTAGTAGACAATTAGTATAGACAAGCAAACCCGATACATAGAAAGAAAATCACAGCCTCGATTGCAGAGCTTGCGTATATGTCAAGTGTTATTCAGCAGTTCAGCATTATGTAAAACTACAACACTCGTTTTACAACTTCCATCATTGTCCTTGTTGTTAATAATTTAAAATCCAAAAAAGAGAAAAAGGGAAGTACTTCTTGTCAATTACAGCGTCAAAAGTCTAGTTTATACGAATCTTTAGTGATTCAAAACATCAATGCCGATGAATTCTGTTCAAAAGCTGAGAAATAAAAAAACATTGCAGATAAACAAAGGGAAAAAGAAAGCAAATTGTTCAAGTTTTTAAGTTTTGGTAGCCACAGTAGCTTGTGTTGATTGAGCTGCGATGAATTAAAAGTGTAAAACCAACCACTTGCATTCCCTCAATCACAATGCAAAATCCCATAATTCATTAACCTTCAATTTTTCATCAATTTCCCTCCCTTTTCTCACTAACCAAACAGAAAGTACAAAAAGCCAAACCCCCATAAGCCAAAAATTCAAGAAAAAAAACAAAGAAGAACTCATTAAAAACGCAGATCCAATAACATAACGCAACCGGATCAGGACAAAAACAGAGCCACAAAACCTCCAAACATGCCCAAACAAATAAAGCATAGCATAAATTAACGAACGAAAATCAAATACATTACCTTTAGTAGGTCGTTCATTGTCGAGGGCAGCTGAAAAATGCAACGATGAAGAACTACAATTTGAGAAAAAAAATTAATAAAAGCTAAAAATTTAAGGTAAAAAAATGGAAGCTTTCTCTCCTCTGAGGGACCTGGTTAATTGAAAAAAAAAAAAAAAACCAGGCCATTGTCAGGGTTTCCAGAGGAGAGAGAAAGGGAAACCAAATGAAGGGGAAAGAAAGACAGAATGTGCTTTTTGTGTTGGAGATGTTGCGGCAGAGGAGAGAGACAGAGAGAGATATCAGAGACGGAACGTCATTTTCTTTGCTGTTTTAAATTTCTCCATTTTTTTCAGGTTAATTACAATTGCAAATTCATACTTTATTTTTAAAATTTCATAAATCTTACACAAAGTTGTGATTTAGTTTTCGTGTTATGTATCTCTTAATAAATCCGTAGATGTGGTATTAGTATATGTTCTAGTTTTGTTGACGTGGATGCTATGTAGAGTAAATAAATTTTTAATTATTTAAAAATGTCAAAATATTTGTTTTAATGATTTTCTATTTTCTGTTTTTAATAATTAAATTTTCTTAATTTATTTTGAACCAAGTGGCACAAATACAGGCTTGTCATATTATCATATAACGATTAATTTGATGTATTAACTAATGAATGTACGACATTGTAGCGAAACACAAATTATTATATGACACTCTAATGATTTAAAGATGAAATATGAGTTTATAACAGTTAGCATCCAAATTTAAAGGTGTAAAATATAATTTCCCTTTGTTTTTTAGTTTTGAAATTCGTTTGTTACCTAATTTGAAAGAGAACGAAGGTGGCACTTTCTATTTTTTGAACTTTGTTAAAGGACGAATGTGCCCTTTGACCTCGGCTGTTTTTCTCCACTTACACTACATGACCCACCATTGCCGTACTAATTACTACGTAGCACGTGGATCACGGCGGTGAGCCTACGACGTTCAGGTGCCTCTACAAACACTCAATTATTTTCTAAATTCACCTGATTAATTACTTCTTTGATAGTTTTTTAGAGGGTTACAAATCTTTTAGTACACCTATAAACATTTTAATTGTCCCTTATTAAACACAATTTAATCAATCTTCGATAACTTAACTTGTAAATTTATTCCACATCACTAAAGCGAAAAAATTTAAAATAAATGCTGAAAATTCTTTAAAAAAACGACATGAATTGTCAGCTCAAGTTCAATCAAATTGCACCTATCCTTGTGCATTCAATATGAAATGGCTCAATACTATGATTTCGTAGTGATAAAACGAACTCATTCATTGTTGTTTGATGAATAATCACCGAACGATGAAAGGAGTTCATTGGATCGCATCTAACACCTATAATTATATCTTTCTTTTTAATTGCTTATGTCCTCTTATGTCATTTTAGTCTAGAAAATTATTATTAGCATTCTAAAATTCTCATTTTGCACTCCGAACTTTTTATATATAGAAAGAAAAACACACATCTGAGGAGTGCAAAACAAGATTTTTAGAGTGAAAATAACAATTTCCGTAGTCTAAGGCCAAATGGAAAGTACAAAGGTGATTTAAAAAAGGTTGGCACCCAAAAAATATAGACCAAAAAATAAGCTTGAAACAAGGAGGGAGGGTGCAATGTGAAAGTGAACCGGAAGTAGGAACGGGTTCAAGACTCGGAAGAAGACATAAGAGCTAAGTAAGTTTTCTCGTCCATGCTGTCAACGTTAGGCAACTGAAGAATTGCGTGGCCAAAACATGGAAGAAGTTGGAGTTTTGGAGAAAACACACAAAACGCGCGTATTGGGTACGTACGCTACACAGAAGAAGGTGCCGTTCCTATGCGGGTTGACCAAAATACCGACAGGTGGATGGCCGTGGCACTATCAATCCATTGCCCAACAGCTTTCATATTCCAAATTTGCACGTATATACGAATCGAAGCTACCACAATTTACAAAGGAAACCAAAGCTCTCTCTCTCTCTCTCTCTCTCTCTCTCTCTCTCAAGAAACCCGTTACGTTACAGAAGAACCTGGCAATCAAACAGGTTTCTTTCTGTAAGTTGAGGTAGTTTAACAATTCTGGTTACGGATTACTAAACATGTAATGTGGTTTGATGTCATTTTTAAGTATATGTGATCAATACATCGAAATTGTGATTTTTTTTTCTTTCTTTTTTGTTGCTTTTATTTGATTATATTATATTGGTTTGTTTACTGCTGCTGCTTTCACAATTTCTTAAGGACACAATTGTTGCTTATTTACTCATCTGAGTTAAATTTTTGTGAAATCTTTAGTCCCATGTGTATGGGCTATGTATTTGGAAAAATGACAACAAAATTAACTAGAGCTACGTTCTTTTGAAACTCTTTGGCCCTTTATTGACTGTTGATTGGCGCCAAAGATGTCCACTTGTCTCGAATCTGCACTCTGTGTTTCCTAACGATTGATGAACAGAAAGTAAGTTTTGTTAGCTTTCGTTGTTACCCTAACATGTAGACAAAGTTCCTATAAGTTTCCAATTGTTTAAGCATCGTCTATAATATGCTGAGTATAGGTAAACATAATTTGTCGTTATCAATAAAATTTCTCTCATGTCGCTGAGGTATTCTAAAAACAAAAAAAAGTATAGGTAAACAGAAGATTTTATGCTCCTTGTTTAGTTTTTCGTTTTATAAATCACCGAGTATTAGCATTTTGTGATCTACTGAATATCTTTCCGGATTACTGATTGCACAGTTACATTTGTTTTTAGGAAATCTCAGGTTCGGAGGAAATTGTTATACTTTTCGACTTTTGGCAAATCGTCTGGAGATGGATGACAAAACTGAACATAACGGAGAAGAAAAAGTCGGAAAGGAAGAATGGCATATGGTGATGATGACCAAGGATGTAGAACCAGGTGACCCGAAGGAGGAGAAGACTGAAGCGGAACTTGAATTAAAGACCGAGTCAGTGGTCAAAGAAAAGTCGAAACATGAAAAGGATGAGAAGAAACATAACGATGCAGATGAGGAGAAATCGAAGAAGGAGGATAAAGACATGGAGGACAAGGAAAAGAAGAAAGAGGACAATGAAGCGGGAGAGAGCGACAAGGATAAAAGAAGGACAAGGAAGAGAAGAAGAAAAAGAACAAGGACAAGAACAAAGATAAAGACGATGATATAGAAGGGGGAGAAAAAGAGAAAAGAAGAAAGATAAAAAGGAGAAAGAGGACAAGGGTAAAGATTTAGAGGAAGGGGATAAGGAAAAAGATGACAAAAAAGGAGGAAAGAAGAAGAAAGACAAGGAGGACAAAAAGAAGAAACACAAAAATGTAGAGGATGAGGAGGAGGTCAAGGCTGAAGTTTCTTCCAGGGAGATTGAAATTGTAGAAAACGTAAAGGAATCGGAGGGGGAAATGGAGGAGAAGACGCAGAAAGATGAAGGAAAGGAAGGTAAAGAGAAGAAAGATAAAGAGAAAAAGGAGAAGGGCGAGAAGGGCGAGAATAAAAGAAAAGTCGATAAGAAGGACAAATGCACGGATGTTGGAAAGCTGAAACAGAAGCTAGAGAAGATCAATGGAAAAATAGAAGCCCTGCTTGAGAAAAAGTCAGACATCACGAGGCAGATAAAAGAAGCTGAAGGTGCAATCCTCACTGTTGCTGAGAAGCCCACAGATGCAGCATAGCACTCTGCGGTAGCGCATTTCACCTCTCTATACTAATACTCCATAATTTGCTTTTTATATTATTGTTAGTAACAAATAAATGTCATCTGTTAGTGTATTTTTCTTGTGATCTGCAATTTTAGAAGTCATCCATGTTGAAACTAATGTTAGTGGTATGTACTACGAAAACCGGTGAGCAGAGCGGGTTCATATGTGTGGCAACCAACCGGAATATGATAGTGGTTTCAGTAGGATGTAAATTACTTGAAATTTTGGTTGGTTTGTAAACATCTATAGAGTATGTATATAACTTTGCATATGCAATGAGAGTTGTATCTGATAGATATTGTTTCTGGATTCAAGATAGTCTTGTTTTGTTCGAAGAAATCATGCAGCTGCCTGAACTTTGTTCCGTTAGATATAACTAAGTTCTAGATTTGGAGCTGTTAAGACAAACTTTGCAATATTTTTTCTTTTTCGGGCTTAATCGTTCTTCATTGAGAGTGACAGACAGCACAGATTGCTCAAGCGGTGGTGGCATATGCCTCGATCATTTGCATATTTCTCCGGTGAAGCAAATTTTCTGAATAGATCTGGCCACACCGGAGAGGAGCCTACGTTGTAGAGTAACACTGCAACTCAAAACTTGAACAACCTACCACAGGAGGCACCTTGAGCTACATGCGTTTGATCACAAGGCAATGCCTGCTTCCTAGGTTGCTCATAGTTTGGTATTTACCAACAAATGAGGTGAGGAGAAAGATTCAGAGGGATTGGGGAAGTGCATGATTCAAAACTTGAAAGGGAATTTCGAAATGAAATGCTATCACTAAAGGACCAAGTTTTGACAAAATAAATTAACAAGAGATCGCAACGAATCATTTCATGTACTCATCATTTGTTCTTTACAAGAAAATTACACCTGTGGCTTATCTAACAAGTAATACTTTTTCTATGAATAAAAACCTTCAATATCGGTAGGCGGTGTACAAACTCTGAGTGGCTTTACCCCAAGCGCATCGATAATATTTCTCGATCCTCATCTTGTGTGAAGGTAAACAAATAACTCTCCCGTTTACTATAGAAAATCAAAGAATTTACCCAAAGAATATGTTTGAATACCTATATCTCTCAAAATGGCAAAGCTGGAACCATGAATCAAACCGTTATTGTCATCTCTGCCTCCAAAACTTTCCATTTCAGTGGAAAACGATGGAAACTGAAGGCTGCATTAGAGTAAAAAGATAGGCACTGTATCGCATGTAGATCCAACTTTAGTCATTCGGGTCCATTTCCTCATCCTGCTCAGAGACGAGAGTAGCATTAGTTCTGTCACTGTCATTTGATTCTGGTTGTTCGTCCAGAGTACTTCCATACTCTGACAATTCATTGTCCTCCACTTTACCCTCTTCCCCAGCTGAATCCAAAGGAACTTCGTCACCATGCTTCATCCACTTCGGGCACTCTTCTTCACCTCCATATACAGTTCGGCCATCATTACCTTTTACACGAACTGGAGCATCGGCAGAAGATATTCTACATGAGCATTCCGGAAGTGGGTGTGAAATGAACAATGCTGGCTTCGACAAAACGGATTGCCTTATTAGGCCTTCCTCACTTAAGCTTTTCTTAAGATGTTCCTGGACTGAGAGTGTCCAATTATGCTTGGGATGGTAGATATTGTCCCTGGTCATGTTGAAAAGTTCTGCTGCAACTTTCCTGTTCAAAAAGAGGACACACAAAGTTAAATACGAACATTAATCATAAAAAGTCGAATAAGAAGATTCTTTTCTTTTTCTCCTACCTGTCTGGTCGGTATGTTCTAGAAGAAGCAACCTCATACAAACGGTGTCCCATGACCAAGCTTGAAAAATCTGGCCATCCACTGCCATCATTGTTAAAACCAGGAAAGAATGTGTCTGCTTCCACAGAGACAATATAATCAAGAGCATCCCAAATCAGTCTATGTGCTTGCATCCTCAGATCCAAAGCAGTAAGGTCTGGTTCGGTGTCAGTCTCAGTAATCCAACCATACCAGCCTTCTTTTTCATGTTGATAGATAGGTCTACCAGGAGGTGGAGGAAGAGGCCGAGGCCTAGGACCGGCCTTCTTCCATTCTTCTTTAAGTTGTTCCTTGCTTTTTGCTGGTGGTCGTTGAAATGGATTTTGTGGAAGAGGTGTTTCAGGTCCAAGTATATCAGACAATTCTTTATTGCTGCACAAGGAAGTGCGATCCACTAAGTTGGGAAACATAGCACGCAAAGGGACCAGAACACGTTGACCCCCAAATGTTTCAGAACCAGCCAGATATATAATTGTTTTAGGAGGATACCCCATTGAAAGAAGAAGAATTCCAACCTGTGAAAGTCGCAACAAGAATAAATGAGCTAATGAACCACAAAAATATAAGATAGATTGATTTATTAATTATCATCATTGGGCCCATACATTATCAATGCACCACCAAAACTGAAATTAAAGTATATAAAACGATGCAATTAAGTACAAGATCAAATTTAGACCATGATTCTTAGTTAAAGCTTGTTCACAGACGTATTAAGATGCTTGAGTCAAGCTCCGGGATAAGGACTTGAGCTTGAGATAATATACAAGGTTGTTTTCAATCCCAGGGTCTTTTTTTCTACTACCCTTCCCTCTCTTTTATTTTCTTATGCCTTTTGTCAAGGCAATGACCCAATTAGGGACAGTCAACATGGTAATTTAGGAATCACAATGACGCATATCATTATTTAGAGTGGATACCTTTAGAAAGGATCATTCCTTACTCTTATTCGTTGCCTATTTATCATTTACTCCTTTGAAATAAAAAATTTCAAGTAATTAAAATACGAAAATTGTTTTTATGAATCAGATAATGTTGGATTAATTAAATTCTCAGTGCCATTCCATCCTCTACTGTTTTCTTTCTTGGTCTGCGTCCTCGACTTATTAAACATATTACTTGTGCATAAATTTTTGGAAACACAAATTCCATTCCATTCCAATTGTAATGTTAATATTTAATATTTAAAAGTGAAATCGATAAAAGGATGCTAGAGGTTCTGCTTTTTCTGAACTGCTCAAATCAATTCCAGTGTTGAGTGAGTGCCAAGGAAACTTAATTTCACAACCAGCATTGAAGTTCACTACTAGTCTTTTAAACAGTCTTAATTATGGCACTGAAAAGTGAAATTTTCTAAGCAATAAAAAATAGACCACAAGAAAGAAGCATCAGAGTGGACTAGAAGCCACACAACAGTACTTACAAATACATAACCTGGATCTGAAATTTAGTACTGAGCTTACCTCTTCAGGCATCAGCGGGCATGAGCCATTCTCTCTACGCAAATGTGAATCTATGCTTGGTTCCTCATGAACAATGCCCTTTTTAATCATTTGTTTCCTTCGATATTGTATGAATTCAGTGTGAACATCCTACAGAAAAGTAGCAAGTTAACAAGATAATTTGATAGCCATGAAACTGAATGAATGTTAATATTTTGCATTTGTTAAAGGTAGAAACCACCTGCACTCAAGAGGAGGGGGAGAGCTCCAAAACTGGATTTTATTGGACTTAGATTTAACCAAGGAACAAAGGAGAACAATTGTTTTACCACCAACTTAGACTTCACAGGCAGAGATATGAAAAAGATTGTAACCAGGAAGTTTATGTTAAGTTGCAACACCCCCGTCACATGTGAGCCTCTTTCCATCACCAAGGGCCAACATGTGGAACTCAACTTAATAATGGGATTCATAATTGCAGGTTATTCAAGCTTAGGTTCTATTACTGTAATACTATGATATAGTCTAAGCATGTAGGTCAACAATTTATATTTTCACAACTACCAAAGATAAAACCAGATTAAACATCTTACCTGAAAAAGTTCAGCACAGCCATGATATGCCAAGGTTTCTCTCACCAAACCAGGATGATACGCTAGGAAAGGTTGACCCCATGCACGTAACCTATCGAAGGAAAATAGTTCTTAGATATAAATTATTACAAGCAGTGAACAGGGTCCACCAGAAGCCAGATACAATAAATAAATTAATAAAGATCCATCACTACAGAAGCTACATAAATAAAAGAACTAATGCTATAACGGCCTTCTAATCTAGCAATATATACGAAAGTAATAATCACTAAACTCTGATGAGAATGAATCCCCAAGCAAAAACATAAACCTCACCCTTTCCCAGAACAGTATGACCACACTAGCGGTTATTATAGGAAACTTCACGCAGCCTTTGAAGCACTTTAAGAGGATGTGTTCCCTTTGACTGCTTGGAAAACCTAGGCATATCCATTAGGCTTAAAGTTTTCATTTTCCTTGTACAAACTTCTATCTAATTTCTAGACAGCCAGACCTAACATTTTCAAAGAAAAAATTTCCTTACTCCATAACTCTATCCCCCAGTTGACTCCATCCTTCTGGTTAACTCTATCTATTGCCTAACCTTTCCAACTCAGATGTAACCTTCAAATGAAAAATCTATTTAACTAAAAACATCTTGCAGATGGTCTAAGAGCAGTCTGTACTAATCAAGTTCTCTACAAACCATTATCGCTCAGTCAATTCAAATCTTCAAGAAAAAAGGTGGGTTGCTAGATTCATACCTCTCCACCATCTTGTGTCCAAGCATTTGGATTTCTGGCCGGAATTGAAGTGCATGGAAGGCGACCCTGCATCTAAGTCTTTGAAACTCGGCCATGTTTGGTGGAAGGATTGACTGAAAATAGGATTATATTGTATCAAGAACACTTAAACTTAATTATCAAGTATGCATGCTTGGAACAGAGAAATCACTAAAGCAAAAAGAAAGAAAACAGACTGACTATTGACATAATCATATATGAATGAATGGTCCCTATGAACCAATAGCAAAGCGACAGAGTATGAATATTTTAGTGGTTCGTAGATAACATTTATTTATTTTCATAAACAATGGTTCATACGTGACAGTTCTAGCGCAAAAAATGAGTATGAAAATATGTAGTTATAAATGTTAAAATAATATGCATGTTTTCTCAAGCAGATGACATTTTGCAATAGCTATACTATCAAAATAGTAGAACATCAGCTACCTGCAGACATCCACCATCAGCAATGATCAAGCCGATAACCTTGGTTTTCCTCAACTTTGGTAGGACTTCTTTTATATAAAAATTTGGAGAAGCTGACATCTTGGGTCTAAAAGAAGGGAACTCATTTCTTTTCCTTGCTGCCTTCAGATTATCTGGCAGACTCTTCACAATGACTATGTCATTCTTTAAAGATGCTATAAACTGCACCTCATCGTAGAGATATGTAAAACTCTTGAAACGAGAGCTGACAAAGTCATTTAAAACAAAAAAGATAAGAAGCAATGAACCATATGGTCTACAAACCGCAGAAAATTGGCATGAAAGAAGTAGCAAACTAGAAAAGAACCTGATGCCTTTTGAGCGAGTACTTTCTTGAATGTCTGGAATGACAAGAGTAGCATTTAGAAGCCTGGATATGGTGACCAGATCACAGATCTAGAAAATTAACAAAGATTTATGAACACCACATACAAATTATCACGTAATCACTTTCACATATTTGAAAAATCGTACCGTAGATCTTATCTTTTCGAATCCACCAAATATTTTTGCGTAAATGAAGCCATTGCTCTGGTCATTTGGGACTGTAAAGAAAACAAAAGTATTCAATCGGCTAAAATATGAATGGTTCAAGGTTATCATATCCTCCAGTGACAAAAAAGAACATAGAATGAGGGAACTCAATTCAAATCCAGTACAACAAAAATGACAGTTAACAGATGCTTCAAGACTACAAAATGTGTTTGGTCCTGCATGCGAGGGAATGGATTCGTCAATGGGTTCAAATTGTCAAATTCTTAAACTATACCATGCTAGAATATGATAAAACCAGAAGCAACAAACTGAGAAAATACACAAATGCAAGAAAAAGAGCAAGATCATCACCAGGATAGTTGCTTCGGGGGTTGGCATAAGGCTGCAAAGACTGCAGGGGCTTCACAGGCCCCCATAGCTTCTTATTAGGAACACTCTGCAAGATTGTAACAAACAAAAGAAACCCATCAAAATAACCAAGAACATACACTCGAAATACATGCATAATGGACAGAGAAATGAATCAAAATCCCACCTGCCTCCCGGAGAGGGAATTGAAATCGTTATGGAATGCGGTCAATGCGCTATACTGCACTAAATCGACAGTCGAAAACCGTGCTATAGAGAGATGCCGAAGTAATGATGCGAAAGATAAAACGAGGACAAAGACAGCAACCCATTTTATCTTAGATTTGAATATCATCTTGGCTCATCAAGCACGCAACAAGAATTCCACTTTCCCCAATCAAACATCACATTTCCAAATCCAATAACTCGATGATTTTCCTACTAAAAAAAATCAACAGCCAACAACAAAAAATCAATCAACCAAGAAGACAAAGACAACCCAATTGAGCTAAAACGATGAATCAACGAAAAAGATGACAAATGACAAATTTCGAATCAAAGGATCTGAACTATTGCTATTGTACCACCAGATAATCAAAGATTAAAGATTGATAAAATCGTAAGTTAAGTCAACGAACCTCGGAAGCAGGGGCGATTAGTCAATTCAAATCTGAAGAATAAAAAATTGAACATGGAAATTTTTTCTCAGGAAACAAACAGAAAGCAGACGGAGGGTATCAACGAATCTGGTGGTGTGGACTGAAGCCTTATGGAAGACAATCGGAAAGGGAAATGGGTTTTAGATTTTGTGCTGCAAATTTGTAGATTTTAAAAAATGGAACCGGAAGTTTGGAAGAAAGGAAGGAACTTTGTGTTTTGTCGTGGGTGTCAGAGTGTGTGTGTACTCCCTCGGATACGTACTATATTTTTTTTCAAGATCTCGAGCTTTGTTTTGTTTGTCTTACTTTCCCAACATTACTGCTCACTTTGATTCTCTCCCTTTTTCTATATTTTTGTTTTGTTCTTCGAAAAAATTAAAATAAAATAATGAAATCGGTTAAAACGATGTTAATACAAAATTCAATTATTGAAATGATTTTTTTTTTTAAAGAGATTTGTTGCGTCGTTAATACATTGTCGTAATTTGATTTGAGGATTTCCACAATTAAAATTTAATAACCTCCATTTCAGCCAATTATCCGGCAAAATAATGTTCTAATTTCTTTTTTAATTCAAGCGATCAATATGAATAGAGAAATCGAGTGCAAGACTTCAATATAAAAATTATACTCTCAACCAGCTAATCTACGAGTTCTTGACGCCTTGGTTTCTTTTATTTCTTCAACTTGTAAAAACTTTATCACTCATTACTAGAGTATGTGATATTCATTTTTATTTGTAACTAACAGCCTAAGAGCATTATTTAGTAAGCGATGCGATCTAACAAAAACTTATGTAAATAATATCATTGTACTAAAACTTGGTAAAAAACTTTAGAATTTTTGTTCTTAGACATGTATGCATTAGCTCTCTTCTTCTTCAAAATACTAGCAAATAACATTATTTAGTAAGCGATGCGATCTAACAAAAACAAAATTATTATTAACACTCGAAAAACTAAAATAGTTTTGAAGAAGAGAGATAAGGGCGTTTTGCGTTACTTGTTAAAATAAGGCCGTCATTTCATTACTCCGGTTCAAAGTACGTTAGAAGAGAGTGAGGAAGAAATTGTAAGCTATATAAATACAAAACAAAAATTGTATACTTTCTCTTATTGGAAGTGAATTACAAATCAAAATTCACAGCTACAGAAAATTAGAAATCTAAGCAAAGTCAAGATTATGATGCTCAATCTTGCAAGCTACTTTTGCACTAAAAGGATTAAACTAAAAGAAACATATACATGCAGAATCCAGTTGTTACAATCGTGTAAAACAATTTGTTGACTAAGAAGTTTCAAAATTGCTCAAGGGAACTGTCGAGAAACCTCGCCGGAGCCACAACTCATACATAACCATGTAAAAAGCATCATAATCAATAGGGGAAAGATGCCACTGGAAATGTTTGCGCACCTTCAACACATTACTCTGTAACCGCAGATATTCATCGGAGCTGATCTCCTTAAGGATTTTCTTAAGCAGTGGGATATCTAGAGTAGCAACAATGACTGAGAAGCTGCTCCAGTTTATTATGTCTGCGAATGGTAAATCATAGTAGTTGGCAATTATCACTGGGACACAACCGTAGTATAGTGAATCTGCAATACGAGCTGTATTTACTTCAAAGCCTTTGACATGGAGGCAGAACCTGCTGCCAAGCAGTTCATCAGCATATGGTGTAGTAAGCCGACCAAAGTGCGCAAAAATCTCAGAGTCATTTCTCCAGACTTGAAGAAGCTTTTCTCGTACTGGGGAGTTGATTCCTCCGGCGAAGAATGCAAGTTTTGTCCTGCATTTTCGTTTTTTTTTTTTTTTTATCAAAAGGGGAAAACTAAGTTCCAGCTCATGCAGAGATAAAACCAACATATTTCCAAAGGCATGGTTAAACTGCGAATTCAATTTTCAGAAAATGAACGCATTTGTAAGATAGAATATTGAAAGAAAATAAATAAATTGATTCCCCCTTTTTTTCAGAAAGATTACTCTGCAAATTCTGAAGATACCGAAGCCCATAAAGTACCCGAAATCCCACTCTCTCCCACAGACTATTCACCTCCTCACATCCAACATCGTTAAAATTCCCATCTTTTCCACCCAAAATGCGGGAAAAACATACCAATATGTCTAGTATAACAAAAGAGAGATAGAAATTGAAGTATCTTCACCTATTTGAAGAACGAAGGTCAGGGGGCTTTTCATTTCTGGGCCAAATTTGTGGCAGACATGCATCCTTGTGTGGTATGTAGCCCGGTAGGAAGTAGCTTGAAGAACAAACAACTTGAATGGCATTAAATTTGACTTCATTTGCTTTTTCCATGGCTGACCGCCCAATGGAATGACAAGCAACGTAAAAATGATCTGCTCCACCTGTCCGGTTCCAATATTCGTACTTGTGACTAACATTGAAGATGTAATCTCTTATAAAATCTTGGATACCTCCCACGCCAATTCTGGGGTCATGCCGCAACCTTGCAATTGAGAAAGGCAGAAAGAAAAGATCCGCCTTAGTAGGATCATTGGTAATGAAATGACTTTTCATAAGGACCTTCTTGAAGTAACTTTCACTCGCGTAATTACCCCCGGGTTCAGAATCCACAGGCAAAAGTGCATTTGCAAAGGAGTCATCTTGCCTGTGAGGATAAACATATATCTTAAAGCTCCTTTTCATTTCTTTATAGTCTTCAAGAAAGATATGTCTATCATGGAACACGGCGTTGTTATTGCCATAATTTCCTGAACCATAAAAACCAACAGTTTCCACATACCGAAATCAAAAACATCGAAATCTCAGACTGTAAAGTTGTAAACTGTCACTCACTCACCCACCCATGCCAAAACTTGACACATTCACATTCAACCCGGTAAATTGTTCAAAGATTCAACATTTCATAAAAATAGTTCACAATTTTTCACCACCTATCTCAATTTTCACCTGCCATTTCATCAACAACCACAAAACCTTAAAATTCTTTCATTCAGTTTCGTCCTTCTAGATCACAAGTTCCAATTACAAGTTGTACGCACGAATATAACGAAAAACCATAAATTATATGATAACATCAAGCAAAATTAGCAAGTCCCAAAAGCCGAAAATCGAAAATTGACATACCATTCGATCCCAATTGAGGTTGCTCTGGTGAGCGTTGACCCTCGATTACTTGAGCACCGTCCGCTTTCAGATGAGCTTCTTCGACTCGAAGGGGTGTATAGGAAGATGAAATATTGAGTAGCAGTTGTGGGATTGAGTGAGCATGATGATGGTGGTGGGCGAAGAGATTGGAGGTAGAGGAAATGTAGAAGAGGATGAGGAGAGACGTTACGAGAGCTAAGATTGTGGGTACGAAGTAAAAATGTCTCAAGGACCGCGGCTGAGACAGATAGTATAGCACCGCCGAAGAAGAATCGGCCATGGAGGTTGGAGGAGGAGGAGGAGGACGTCGAAGTTCAGTCAGTCTCCTCTCACTTCGCACTCCTCACGCCAGAGTCAGAGGGACACATCGAGAGAGAGAGAGAGAGAGAGAGAGCCGGCACAAAAAAGAAACCAAAAATAAGCATACACGCCAAAATCGTGTCTTCAGGTTCAGCTATGAGTTTCGATGCCTTGCGGATCAGGCCTTTTTTTAAAGTAAGGGTGCGTTTAATATACCAGGATTATTTCAATAAACTAATTTTATGGATTAAGCTGAATTGGTTTAAAATAAACTAAGTGAAACTAACTTAGTGAAGTGTTTAGTGCAAAAAACATGAGATGATAGGGCCCCACTTTGAGAGTCTTTTTAGCATTTCTTTTTTATTATTTTGACTTCAACTTAAGTCTCGTCCGTTATATACAATTGGAATGATTGGATAGGTTTGCTAATCTCAAAAATCGTTCGTCATTTATGGCATTTGTTAACATTTGGTCATTCATTTAAACCTCACTTAACAGTTAACTCTTCAACTTATTTCCTCTATAAAACAAATCATAAATTAAAATAAATTAAGTAAAAAAAAAAAACGCGTAACACTCTATTACATGGGTCACAGAAAATTAAGTGGAGAAGATTTAAACTCTAATTTTCTACTTAAAATTTGGATAAAATTAACTTTTGTCCCTTCGTTCTACATACATTGATCGTATCTCTCACGCCCTGAATCCAGGGCAAGTGAAAAACTTGAATTCAGAACGAAATAAATAAATAATTTATTTAGAAACGTTGGGGAAGCATAGATATTTTGATAGGCCAAAATAAAATTGAATTTCAATTTTATTTAATATACGAGTCAAATACAAAATCAAAGTTACTCAAATTGCAAATATAATGTACCGTGGCCACTGCCTGTTGAGAGTTGAAATGTGAGGAAGAGTTGGGTTGCTTCTCATATTGCCAATTGGTTTTACAGTGGAACTCTAATTTCATCATGGTATCAGAGCCAAAGCCCAAGAGCCACACATGCTCACGCGTCACCTACTTGTTGTCCACGTGTAGGCTTGAAAATCGGCCACACGTGCGGAAGCGTGTTGAGAGTTAAAATGTGAGGAAGAGTTGCCCCACATCAGTAAGGAACAAGATTTGCTATGTCCTTGTATGATCTTGGGCTACTCCCCATAATGATGAAACCTCAATTTCATCACTGTCATGTCATCTCGCTAGGTAGGTTTATGTTCATCGAGGACGCCCAACTGTGTCATGCTAGGGTAACCCTTTGACTGGTAAATGATCGTATGTGATGTTCACCCCAATATATTCAACTACTGTACTAGAGATAGTTCATTTTGATGTCAGAACTCAATGTTGGAGAGCTTTTGCATTAACTGGCGATGTAACATCTACCACATCTCTCAACCAACTGGATCCAAATCAGCCTCCGCGTCCTCACCATCAAGCATCCCTGCCTCGACCTCAACCTCGGCATCTGCTTCCAACTGGCCTCCCTCTTGACCCACATCCGTATCAGAGCTTTGCTTCTGATGTTCATTGGGAATTGGACTTCCACCTTGGGACATGTTACCGGTTGCAACAATGCTATCAGCGTCCATTGGCGTCCCTGAGGCTTCACCGTCTAATTCACTTGCAGGTGTTGCATTCTTCAGGCAAAAAAAAAAAAAATTTATCAAAATTCTTGGTGAAGAAGTAATGCCGATGCCTCCATTACACGTACACATGCATTTACTTGACCCTCAAATTTGAAAGCAACCTCCCTCAAGACAAAAAAGAACACAAAATAGACAACAATAAAGGGATAAAGGTTTGAAATATTTTTCATCTCATTTTCAATCTTTAAGCAGAAGATGCATCGCACATATTTAGCATTATGCAGCCATGTAACGTTATGTTTACACAATAAAGATGTTTCTTTCTAAATCAAATTGGCAATATATACGCGCACATATACGCATACACATTATTCACACCACTTTGTCATTTGGATATTCAACTTTCTATATGAATCAAAGATGTTGGAAAATAAAATAGTAAAAATTCAACACACTGCCAATCATATACCTGATTTTCTTCTAATTGATGTGCAGCACCTTTTGATTCTTCCTTCTTAGCACGTTTAGACCTGTCGTTTGGTTTAGCTTGTTATTTAGACCGCAATCATAGTTATATTCTTACTCGAGAAAATCCAAACATAGTTATATTCATACCCGAGAAAATCCTTCCAAGTCTTGTCTAGCTGAAAATCGAAAACGTTTCCAGCAATAAACCTGCATGATGAAATTTTACCATTAGATAAAACAAAATCAATATTTAAGTGGAACACTAGTTTCAACAATTCTAATATTAAAAAGCAAGAGGTAATGCACATTGAATCACATTGTGAAGCAGTTGAACAGCTATTAAATAAAATAGCACTCTATATTACCAATGAACCCTAGTAAAAAAATCCAGAAAAGCTGAAAACTCAGTCGGTTATTTTTGTGGTAATACCCAGGTTCTATTCCAGCTGCTGGATCCATCTGTAACTCAAAGAAACTAAGCAGTTGCAGAGAAAACAAACTCCATAGCATCACAAGGGACAAGAGTGAGCGACCCCCAGTACACACACACCATGTTAGTTTGGGCATTGAGAAGTAAATAATACTTGCATCTTCAACCAAGGGCTTTCAGTACTCAGTGATGGAGGGTGTTCGAACACGTTGAGGATCAATTAAAGCATTCTAGACATGAAAAAAAGAACTATTAAGCAATAATAACTCCATAATTGTCAAATGAAATTTGTGGTCAACAATACTGAAAGGAACATATTGCTACATATTTACAATATTTTTCTTCTTCAGCAACTTGATCTGTAATGTTTGTCTTCTTTATAGTAAGAATTGAAATGATCAATGTGAAAATGCACTATTGTTTTCCAAATTCGGTTTACGATTTTTTTTTTTCATCTATAAGTTATCCATTTCTGTTAAAATTGTAGCCAAGAAAACTGAAAGAGAGGAAGTATAGCGGAAAAATGTATCTTTAAACCCACACACTTGGATTTGGTCTGCCCTAGTTTATTTTTTTCAAATTTCATTTCCAGAAAGAAAATCTGAACGATCATTTGCTTAGTTGCAATCTAACAAAATATGTCTTGTAATTTGTATCGCTAGCTTGTTGAATTTATGGCGTTTCATATCTCCAATCCTGCAGAGTGCCCTAGTAATAGTATATAATGCCATATTTTACTCATCAACTCTTCATTCTTCTATTCTATAATATATTTTTTTAAGAAAAAAATATGATTACAGTCGGTTTCTTAAGAAATTAGTTTGAGACGTTAGATATGAAATCTCAACTCTTGAAATTTATTCAGAATACTTGCAGTTCCTGAAACAAACTTTCCGCGTGGAGGTTGGATAATTGGGCAAATCAAAGGATTTGAGTCCATATAGGTCTGGAGACTATAGCGTTGGCAGTCCCACATCGGTGGGAGAAGTCAACAAGGGTGGCTTTAAATATGATTATCCTAGTCTATCTAATTCCAAGGTTTTTTGTGATAAAATTTCACACCTGACAGATTAGACAGGTGGTAAAGTTGGGAAAAAGTATCAGTGTCATTAGAGTGGAGCCCCCCAGACTACTATACCCTTTAGGTAGATATCAACTGATTAAATGAAATTCAGTTTTGAATTTTGAATTTTGGTTTTTAAGGACTAATGTTCAGAAACCCATTAATAAAACTAACAGATCTTCAACAAAAGTCATCCGCAAATCCAGACTAACACCACATATACATCCTCAAACACAGTCTCCTTATGTGTATATATACTTATATTTAATGTTTAATATGCTATAATTTTTCAATCGATCACTGGATAGGTGGCATCCATGGTAATGCCACAGTGCTCATTCGGGTTGCCATTTTTAAGCAGTTTCATATAGCCTCCCTCTCCCCATTCCTTGCCCCAGGAGTTCTTGATTCTCCAGTATTCGGTGTCAGACTCGTCCCTTCCGATACCGACTATGGTTACACTGTGTCAAATCAGTCCCACATTTGTCTCTAAAAATCCCGCCTTTGTAATAAACAAAAGCTGCACTTCCGGGATCAATCCAACGGTCACTGGTTGTTGACACACAGCCCTTGTCAGGGCCTCCTCATCCCTCGGCAACACACTCTGATAGTGATTGTTCCGGGTGACAATGGGTAGAATTTCTAATATCTCTCGGTTGCATTCGCCCTTCTTTGCCTTGTAGGGATAACTGGCCTTACTCACGATCCCTCTTTTGGAGACAGCCATATGCGTAATCCTCGAGGCCACCCTTACTAACCTCGTCATAGTCTACAAGCTGCTGCGGGGACAGCGCGGCACCACCTTCTGAAAATGAATTTTAGTAATTGGAGAATCCTTTTTGCTACAGTATTGTGTGTAGCAATACTGATTTGCGATGCAAGTTCTTTTCAAGCATTTGACGCATGGACCGCACTGCACGGCCACGTCTACTCCAGCGCTCAAGAACGAGAGCTGCGTCACACAATATTCAAAGGAAACTTAAATTACAGGTTTAACCAATTTGCAAATAACCAACTAAACAAGTTTAACCAGCTTGCACAAAAGTTCGCAAGTATCAAAAAGCCTGGTTTTTTACATTACGAGGAGTGCATAACTCTCCAACATCAGATACCAACATAAATGAGCAGTGACATAACAATTTACTTGTAAAATAGTACTTGTAAGCAAATTTTCATAAGTAAAAATTCCTCACCTCCCAAATACAAAACATTTCTTAGGATCTGTGGGATCATATACTTCACAAATTCAGCAGCTAGATACATTTTGGTAAACAAAGTAAAAAAAAAAAAAAAAAAGAGAATTTAAGGGATATAGAGAGCAAAAAAGTGAAACGGATGATGGGGAAACTTACAAGTTAGCAGAGGGTCCTCTGTGCAGCAAATTCTGGTACATAAGGACGCAATAATCCCAATCACAACGAAAATTAGGGTCGCAAATAAGAACCCCATGTTGGATT